TGTGTGTAGTTTTCTTTTCTCCCCTTTTTTGGGTAAGCATAATTAACAAGCCACTTGACACACACACAGCAGCGAGGAGCAGCCCCCTCAAATCACACCCATCCATTAAACGAAGCCAATAAATATGTCTTAATTTTATAGGGTATTCTAAATTTGATTTTAGGTTCGTAACAGACTGCAAAACTTTCTAAATAAATAAATAAAATGTAATATTTTTTTTCTTATTTTTCTTTACAATTTAAAGTTGTTTAAAAAAATTATTACAAGTATATGGACATTTTAGAACCCAAGAACATTTTTTCTGTGTCGTTTCCTGTCTTCAGTATTTAATTTGATTCAACTGAAAGAAAAAAAGATTTGCTTGATATGGGCATATGAACCAAAAGATGATCACATTTTCTTCGTGACTGTGCTTTTTTTTCTCTCTGCTGTCGCCTCAATAATATACTTTTTCGAAAGTTTTGTAGGTGGTTGTTAAATATGTTAATGGGGGCCCCATAGACCATGTCATTCTGGCCAGCAGGTGGGAAACCCTTTGTACGAGGGAAAAAAAGTGCCTTAAGGTTGCACTTGGCTAAGCAAAAAAGTCCACTCCCAGTGTCATTTTATTTTATTTATATTTTTGTTTTTATTTTACGCACGTAACTGTGACGACTGACCTTGTCGAATTAAGTATAAAAAATATATACAGACAAACCCAAAAAAAAAAAAGGTTTAATAACCATAAACAACAAATAAAAAATGTAATTCTTAATTAATATATGTTTTTAGCTGAAAAAACAACAAACTTCTGAGCATAAAATTATTTTTTAAATTTAAAATTTGTTAAATAAATTCTACAAAAAAAAAAAAATATCTTGAGTAAATTATATTTTAAAAGTATTTTGTATATATTGATGCGTGTTTTCTAGGTCTTTGACTTTAGTTACGCTTTGCAGATGATTTTAATTCACAATTTATACAAAAAATAGTTTATTTCGGTTGGCTGGCATAATTATGTTTGTATTTTATAGCCGCGAAATTAATACACATGTTGGCTGGCTGGCTGGCTGACTGGCAATTGTGTCAACCATATTATGCACATGACGTCTCTTGGCCTATTCGGTGCTGTTTTTGGCCCCCAGGTACAAACCGTTTTCAATGTGTTCCACATTCGCTTAATTTCATATTATTTGATGTGTGTCTCCCCCCGAAGGTCGTGAGTTATTTAAGGTACTCAAAAACGTGTAAACACGATCGTTGTGTATAAATATTTAAGGATTATAGCCTTAAGATAGGGTTTGTGTTGCAGTTTTCAGATTTTTTTTAAAGCCTTTGTAATTTGTATAGAATATTTAAAGTATATTTTATTTTACGTGCCTTGAAAACTCTACTTAAAAATTTTTGTTGGATTTCCTTTAAGCCGGAAGTTCTCAATATGAAGAGTTTTTAAAAATCCCCTTGTTCTGGTCACGTCCCAAGCCATGTTGGTATATGTAAATTCCATGCCGGCTTACATTTAGCATTTGTTTGGCTTTGAAACAGCAAAATGCCATTAGCAAAACGCCCTCGGACCACGCCCACCAGCAGCCAAACAACAACAAAAATTAAAAAAGAAACCTGTCCCTGGAATGCGTTAGATTTTGGCACTGAAATGGAGCCAAAATTGACAGGCAAAAAAAGCAAACAAACCGAGATTTTTGTTTTTGTTTTTGCTAATCGAAAATATTGACAGTTGGCCTGCTAATGCAGCCTGATTTATTCAGTGGTTATTTTTACACAAAAAAAAAAGTCAAATAATTTTAAATATAATTTGAATTTCAATATATCTAGTAATAGAAGTTATTATATATTTTTATAACAAAAACTAAAGGAATATAAACTAATCTTAATTATTATTATTTTTATTATCAAAATTTTCAATAAAATATTAATTTCTCTAAGAATATCAACAAAAGGAAAGCCTTTCCGACCCTATAAAGTATATATATATCCAACATTCTGTCTTGCTTTCCTTTCTGTGTAAGGTAAAAAGGGGGCTATATACCAGCTGTGTTTGCTCTTTATAAATAAAGTCAACTAAAAATGGCAATAATCATCATCATCAGAGAGCAAACTCATGCTAAAAGCAAACCATTTGTGGGGGATTTTCGAAGGGTGACGAGGCCAGGGGCCACAATATTGTTCAAGATGATGAAGATTCTCTGCAAATATAAAGCGGGAAAAATAGGAAATTGTTAAACACAATTAAGGATGGCTTTGTTTTTGTTTATATTCAGAGTAAAGTACTCAATCTTCTCCAAGTAACCCCTAAATGACACATTCTACTATACTCTTTTATATGTGTTAATAAATTGTACTTCTATTAGGGTAAAGCCCTTATTCCATTATTCTGTTTATAAAGGACCCCAACATCATGAAGCCTAAGCTTTAAGCAAAGGAGCTTAGGGAGCTATGAGATCCATTAGTTTCCCATTCCAGGCTTTAATTTAACCAAATTTCAACATGGTTTTTCTGTTTAAAAATTTTAAAAATAATATAAGCAAGTTAAATGTAATATCTAATATTTTCCGTAAAAAATTTAAAAGTAAAATAATTGCACGATTTTTATTATTTAGATCCAAGTAAGACCCAAAAAAGTATGTTTGTTATCGCTACCGGAGCTTTTACATAATGAAAGTTTTGCGGCATATCTACGGCTCTTTCGATGATTTTCCGTTGGCCTTTATCTTATCTGAATATGATTCGAAATACCTTTGTTGTTGGCAGTCATAAAAAAAGAGCCTACAAAAAGTACAAAAAATCACAAAATGAAGGCAATTGTGGAACGCATCTGGTGGGAGGTGTGTTGTGTGCTTTTCTGACTCACTTTGAATTGGCTTTTATTTGCTCCTCCAACCTACTAATTCCAGAGACCATTTCATTCACTTTAATTTTGCTTTTATTTTCCAACCATTTCCTTTCTTTCCTCGGAGGTAATTTATTACACATCTCTTGTGTTTTTAGTTTTTTCTGATGATGATGATGATGATGATGATGATGATGATGTTTTTGTGCCCAGTCACACACACACATACACAGAATTCCGTTAAAAAAAAAAAACAGCTCATAGTGAAAAGAAAATATATGAGAAAAGCTAAAAAAGCAGGCGGTACAAAATGCATTTCGTAATGTTTTGTTGTAATAATCCAATGATGATGATGATGCAGTCCGGGAATGATCATATCATCATTTTGATTATAAGATGTAATGACTTAAAAAAACAAAAAATAATCAAAGAAGCGTCTAGAGACGGAAAGCGAAAGGAGTTAAGAAATGCAGTTAAAAGCTGGAGGGATGACAATGCAATTGAAAATATTACAAAATTTAGAAAATAGCAAAGGATCTTCAGTTCGCTTCATTGAATCACATTTTTGTTGCCCCGTTTTTAGGATATGTTGCCGCCTGGCAGCTCTGAAGTTTGGAATACGTTATGAGCCGCCTAATCAATCATCAACAATAAACAAATAAATGAAAAATGCGGCCTCTGATAACAGGGCCTAATACTACGTATACAGTAAAAATGTGTTGGAGCGGAAAAAAAAAGAAAAAGTTACAAAAAACAGAAATAAAGGAGGGCTGGGGGAAGTCGCCGCCCTGGGCATTAAAAGTTTTCACTTTTATTTTTAGGGCGCGCGGAAATGGTTGCGTTTGAGGGATCTTCACATCGCCTACGAGGACGGTCGTCACCCCCCTCTTGAATATTTCACTAAATTTGGACCCCCTTTTTCTCTCTCTCTCTTTCTTTCCCTTTTTCACCTCATAACGGGGGAAAAAAGAGGAGGGGATTGAGTGAAGCAAACGAAGCTGAAACAATCCTAATTGGGTCATAAACACACTAAAAAAAAGCGTGTACAGATTATGTGGCGACCCCATGATCTTTATTATACAAAAGGGGGATTTTGTGTAAATTTTAAAATCAATTTTGGTTTGATTTATTCTTTTTTGCTTTTTAAAATGATTAAAAATGATTTATAAATATAAATTAAATTAATATTAACCCTGAACCCCCTTTGTTAAGATCCTGCATGGCGCCTCTGTTGTATTCATCATAATCATGATCATGTCAGTGATAATTCATTGTGGCATCATGGCTTTTTGTTGTTATTGGATTGAAGCAACGCGTGTGGTCAGAGATTGCTTCGCTCCACATAATGTGTCCACCAGTGGATAACTGGAAAATGGGAGTGCATGTTGTTGTTGTTGTTGTTGTTCATTGCCTGATAAAGTTTTCAATATATAAACTATATATGTAACATATTCATCCATACATACTCCATTTTCCATACTTTCTTGCCATGAGTTTGACTTGAGTTGTAGTAGTTTTATATGTTATGTATATTTGTATATAGTTTCTTTATCAGTTACAAGTGCGTGGAGCTAGGAGTCAGAAATGGTATTGTGGTGGGGGTCAACTGGTTGACCACTCCATCGCATATGACATCATTCGGAAGTAATAAGCTATAGCGGTCACTGCTCACATGTTATTCATACTAAAAAGCTTATAATTTAGATTGAATAATAAGTACGAGTCATGAAAAATAAGACATGAACATTTTATTTTATAAATTGTCAAGATTTTAATTTTAAAATATTTTTCCTGGAAAATTTTAAAGGTTTTTTTAAAGTAATATTTTTTCTTAAATAATTTTTGTAATAATAAAAGTAAAGACGACCAATTTTTGTTCCAAACTATTTTGTAAAAGTTTTGTTTTTGTTTTTCAACTGTTCCTGATTTCCTCTACCCCCTAAAACCCTCTGCTTTCAATATTGCTTTCACCCCCTGTGCCCATTGACCAGCACGTGCTGGCTTCTCACTCACACTCACCCACTCATTATAAAGGGAATCCCCTGACATTTGCAAAAAAAAAAAAAAAAAGAAGGAAAACCAATAACAATTATCGGCCAGCTGCCAATGCATCTGCCAGGTGTGTGTGCGTGTGTGTGTAATTTATTTCTCACTCTCTCTTCCCTCGTTGCAGATGTCATTGACGAAAAAGGATCCTTCGCTGAGAGTCGCCGCCTCGGATCCGCATCTCGTTTCGTTGGGCGGCGGGCGACTGAGCACCGCCGTCACCATTCACTACATACACATAGGTGAGTGTGTGCTAGAGTTTAATTTTAGTTTTAATTTTAATTTCTAGTAAATATTATAAGAAACTAAGAATGTATTATCATTTGTCTAGATAAGGATTCTATAGAGGTTTTTGCTAAAAATAATTTTTTAATTTTGTATTAATTTATAATTTTTTTCCCTATTTTCTTATTTTTTCCCTATTTATTTATTAATTAATTTTTAAATGTATTATTTTTCCCTATTTATTCCTTTATTTTATTTATATAATTTTTTTTATCCCCTATTTATTTATTAATTTATTTTTTTAAATTAATATTTTTCCCCCATTTATTTATTAACATATTTTCTTGAAGTTTATCAACTTATTTTTATAAATTTAAAAATCACAATATCAAGTCACTCTCGCATCTCTAGTAAACTTCGTGTCACGATGGCATCTCTAGCAGTAGAGTTCGTGCCGCTGGACACGCACTGTACTTTCCGCAGCCTCCTCCCCCTCTTTTGCACACATGCATACATACATATGTATATGATTTCTGTTTTGGTTGACGTTTCGGCCACGCGTGCGCTCTTTCTTTCTCCCCCTCTGCCACTCCCTCTTTCGCTACCCTCCCCCCCCTGGCCAAGGTCAATTGTAAGGTACCGAATTGAGCAACAGAAGAAGCACACAAAAAAAAAAGTCTTGCGAAAGAAAACGCATAAAAGGCAACAAGACGACGAAGCGAATGGAGAGCAAGACTCTGCGATAAGCTTCAGTCTTTTATTTTTGACGGCATCATGTACTATGGAATAAAAACGCTGAAACAAGCTTCATTAATTTAAATTTTAAATAAATATTTTAATTTTAATAAAGCACCAAAAGTAAAGAAGGTTTTTAGAGGTATAAAAGCCAAGTCTAAGCATAGTCCTTAGAATTCCCAAGTCACACTTGTTATTATTTTTGTGTCTAGAAATGATTTTTTAATATTATTTATTAAAACTAAATTTCAGCAAATATATAATATGTTTAGTTCCTTTATTTAAAACATGATTCCCACTGTAATTAAAACCTAGAAAAGCTGGACATATTTTTGAGAGAGCTTTAAAGCGAGATAAGAAACAAAATCGAAGCCGAAATATATTCCAAAAACCTCACAATATTGAAACACGCTTCGAACGTGAAACATTTACTTTAAAATCTTTGAGCTTTTTTTTTTAAGAAAAAAAAAAAAAAAACAACACATAATTCTGAATTTCTAAACTTTTTAGGTGACACGACAATTGGATCGGCGGTGAGCTGTAGCATCTCGTTGAATGGAAGCGGCGTTCGTCCACTACATTGCACCATATACAGGTATTAATCAGCGATTTTATTTATTAACTAACCTCAAAAAACTCTTAAATTTGAAATATATTTAAAATATTTTATAGATATAGAAGTAGAAGAGATTCAGCATAAAAATCAGTTTAAAAAAGGAAAGATTACTAACTTACTTTGATTGAAAACATAATGAAATAAAATAAATAATGAAATAATTAAAAAAAAAACAAATAAATAAAAAATGAATTAATTAATAAATAAAAAAATATACTTAAATAAATAAAAAAAAGAGAAATAAAAAAATAATAATAATTAGATAAATAAAAAAAATAATAATTAGATAAATAAAAAAAACAATAATTAGATAATTAAAAAAAATAATAAATAAAAATATATAAATTATAATAAAATTAAAAAATAAAACAAAAAATTTATGAAATAAATAATTACTTTTTGTCACCATAAAAAAATAATATTAAAAACCAATTACATATGTATACAAAAAATCAATTAATTAATAAATAAAACAAATTAAATAAATAAATAAAACAAATTAAATAAATAAATAAAATATATAAAAAATGTAATTGGAAAATCCACCAAGACAAAGCTGTCTGTTTATTAATTTTCATGTTTTTTCTTAAGCTCAGAACAACAAAATCAAACCAAAAACGTAAAATATATAAATTTAAATATAATAATTTATAAAATTTTAGTTTTACCTTGAAACATCTTCGAATTTGCTTGCAGGAGCGACGCTAACGAGGTGACTTTGGTCCCAGAACAGGACGCCCGTCTCCTCATCGACGGTGCTCCCATTCTGGAGGAGACGAAACTTAGCCAGGGGGCAATGATTACCATCGGTAATTCGAATTACCTAAGATTCAACAATCCGGACGAGGCGCAAATGATGCGCTCGGCGATGGGCTCCAACGAACGCATCTCGATGCCCCAAATCGATTTCACACAATCGGCACGGCAGGCCCACGATTTGAGTCAGTCCTTGGAGCTGGAATCCTTTTACGAGAGCATTATAAATCCGATAAATCACAACAACAACAACCACCATAATCCATCGGCATACGAACTGGATTGCCCCAAGGTCTTCTCCGCCGATCTTGTGACGGTCAATATGCCGGCCAAGGATGTGCTTGGCCAGAAATATGCCAGCTTTGCCCGCAATCTAGCCGAGAATCATCGCAACGAGAAGCAGCTGAACAATCAGTTTGCCAAGGGAGTTGGCAGCAATAGTGGCTATTGGAATGTGCCCAGCAATGCGGCGATTTACAAGGAACAGCAGCAGCAGCAGCATCAGCAGGCGCAGCAACAGGCTCCCACGGATCACCTGCTCACCAAAGTCAACAACGATCGTTATGACAGATATCCCAAGACGGGGGGTCTTCAGATTTACTCCATGAATGGTGTAAATAATGAGATCAATAATGGCCTGATGCCGGGCTCAGTTGGAGGAGGAGGAAGTTCGAGTGGAGGAGGTGCTGAACTGGAGGACATGCTGAAGATCTGCACGGAATATGCCGACAGGAACAACTCCATGAATCATGGACATAACAATACCTCCAGCACTTCCTCTAGCATCACATCCTCGCCCATTGTCCAGAATCGCATCAAGACGAATGGCTCCTTGCCCAGGGACAAGAACAAGTCACCGTTTCCCACGCAACAGCAGACCGGTTCAGGTGGCAGCACGGCCATGTTGAGCAGTTCCTCGGGCTACGAGAATGTCCGTTTATTGGGTCCCAATCGTGTGGAGATCAATGGTCAGATACATGTGCCAGCCTCAGCTGGCAATGCAGGCGGCGGAGGATCAGGTGGGGGCTCTGGGGCTATACCAACTGCAGCTGTACGTGCCAGCCACGAGAATCTGGTTAATCCCGTGGGAGTGGGCAAATATGTGCCCCAGAGTCCCAGGACCAAGATTCGTACGAATTGTATGTCTCCGAAAAAGGAGATATCCTTTGGCAATGCCTTTGCCCTGGCCATCAGTCCGCCTCCGGCTCAGGCTCAGCCACAAGCTCAGGTCTCCTCTGCCCCCGTTGCCATACCCATTTGCAACATGGTGAAGCCACCATTGGCCCCCAAGCCGCCGGCTCCTAATCTGCAGCGGGACTACGAGCAGCTTTTCAAGTCCTTCGATCGCAAGCAGAAGCAATTGGATCGCCTGGTCTCGCCCAAGCCCAGGAGCAACAAGAACATCAATAATCTCACCCTGAACCTTCAGGCTGTGGAGTCACAGACGCAGTCATCACCGAAGCCCAGCCGGAAGCCAGCGCCAGCGCCCAGGAGCATACACTTGGAGCAACGCCAGCGGCGAGAGCTTATCCAGCGGCGCAAGCAAGTCAAGCGGGAACTGGCGGAGCTGCCGCCATCGTCTGGAGTGGATAATCTGGAGGTGGGTTTACATTTTAAGGTTTCTTGGGAATTTGTGGTATTCACAACTCTCTTTTTAGTTGGAAATGGATGAACAGCCGCTGGCTGCCACAGCTTCGCCTCGATTGCAGCTGCAGGCTTTGCAGCATCGTGTTCGCCGCTTGGAGGCCCAAAGGAATGCCACCAGGGTGATGGAGGAGAATCAGCAGGCCAAGCTGAAGCAGTCCATTGAGATGAAGCAGGATCAGCTGAAGAAGTAAGAATTTATCTAAAATAATCTAAAATAACGTATTAAATCCTCCTGCTGCTTCCGCAGACTTCGAGCCATGTTAAAGCAGAAACCCAACAATGCCTGCCTCAAGGAGGAACTGCAGCTGGTGTGCGAGTCCTTGGAGAGCGATCGCAAGACATTTGAGGATCTAGAGTTTCAGTATTTCGAGGAGGAGTCCGAGCATCATGCCAGCCATGAGGAATTCAAGCGTCACGAGCAGCGTCTCACCCTCGAGGCTGAGCTGGCCGCCTTGCGCATACAAATAGGAGCCGGCGAGGATGAGGAAGAGGAGCAGGAACCGGAGCATGACACACCTCCGCCTTCGCCTGAAACCAGCAGCAGCAGCAATCTAATCAATGGCGGTGTCATGTCGCAGTCTCTGTTTGGATCCGCCGAGCTTCTATGTCCAAAGCTGCGCAATCACGAGGATCTAATGTCCAAGAGTGTCAACGAAAATATGTTTTATAATCATAAAATCGAGGCCACTGGCATAACGAGCACCCCGAAACGTGTGCCGCTGCAGCTATTCGAGAATATCGGTGGCAGTTGCGAGCAGATTAGCTTCAATCTATCGCTGCAAAGCGATCGATTCGAGGTGAATCCTTTGGAGCGTCGTGTGCCCTCGCAGGATGACATCGATCGTAGCTGCAAGGTGGCCAATGATGCACCCATATCCACCAGTCAGGGTGCCAGCACCAAGATCTTTGACAGCATCAAGGAGATTGAGAGGAATCGTAAGCTTTTGCTGGCACAACAAGGTAGGGAGTTATATTATTTATATTAATATATATTATTTATATTTATATTATATTTATAATTTTATATATTTTAATTATGTAATTAAATTAATTTTTTTTCGTTAATATTTTTTAGGACATCAGGTGATTGAGCACGAGCGCCAAAAGATGTATGACCTGAAGAAGAAGAGCCACGACGAGGCCCGCACCCAGTACTTGCTCTCCACGCAGCAGCAGCACCAGCAGCTGCCAGAATCGGATGCCAAGTAAGTTGACCCAACAACCTGACCCCCATTCATGCCCAGCTTCCTCTCGTGCTTCGAGTTAATTAGTTGAACAGACCATCAAGTTAATGCACTTTGCGTGCATTTGGCACTAGGCTGCAGGCTTTGAAACTCCAATTTAAACTTTAATATATTTATTTTGTTAAAAAAATAATCAATAAGCTTGTAATAATTTAAATAATTAATTATTTTAAAATCTTTTTCAATCAATTAAAGCTTATTTTGCGTCTTTAGGGGCTTAATTTAATGAATAATTTGCAGTCATCATTATTCAATCGATTGGCATTAGTTTTTTAATTATCTAACTATATAAATTATTGATTATCTTATCTTTTACTTTGTCTAAAAATTGATGGCTATTGATTTATATTTATGTATTTATTATTTAGTTTAAATAAAGTCTTTGGTGAATTAACTTTTGATTGATTTGGATTTATTTGAATTATTTTAGGTTTATTTATTATTGATTAACATTATTTATTGATTTTTTTAAACAAAATTTTAAAATGTTTTATTTAATATTTATTAGCATTATTTTTATTTTTGTTTCGATTTTTAATTTTAATTTCATTTTCAATTTTATTTTATTTTAATTTTGTAATTATTTTATTTATATATATATATTTTTTTTTTTGTATATATTTTGATTTTTGTATTTATTTTTTAAATATATTTTTTTGTATTTAATTTTTTTATTATTATTATTATATATTTATATTATTATTTATATATATATATTTTTTTTTTTTATTTATTTGTGTCTTTATTTTTATTTTATTTATTTGTGTTTTTATTTTTATTTTATTTATTTGTATTTTTATTTTTGGTTTTTTATTTTTATTTTTGTATTTTTTTTTTTTTTTTTTTTTTATTTTTGTATTTTTTTTATTTTTATTTTTAGTTTTGTATTTTTTTATTTTAATTTTTGAATTTTTTTTTTCTATTTTTATTATTCTTTATTTTTGTATTTTTATTATTATATTTTCCCTTTTTTTAACCTAAAAAATACACACTTTTTAGCATATATTAAATGTTCTCATCAAGAAACCTCATTAGTCTCCATTTTGCCACCTTGCTTTATTTATTAAACTTTAAAATTCACTATCAAATTATCAAATTTTCCCCTTTGTTGACTAGTGTAAAATAGAGATGCCTTTTGGCTTGCTCATTGAACTCCCGCCTCTCTATAATTAATCAATTATCGTTGCTAATAACTAAACAATGTGTGTGTCCCCTCGACACTGTCACGCTCCCCATACCTACTCCCTCCTCCCACCGGAGGAGAACCGGTCTTTGAAATTTGAATTGAAAACCGAAAACCAAACAAAAGTTATGACAAATAATAAACTTTCAGCGATTGGAGTTTTATTTTTAATGCACACTATTTGCCGATCAAGCGACGTCATCTCTCTTTTATATATATTTTTTGGTATTTTTTGTACACAGAAAAATATATTTAGAGGATTTTTTAAAGGAATTTAAATTATTTAAAAACATTTTCTAATGAAAACTTATTGATTGTTTACTCGATTTGTAATATACTTTTTATATATATATATTTTTTTTTTAAATTTATATCTGCAAAAGTAGTAAACATATATTTTATTAAATACATACAAATTCCAATAATATTTATATTAGTTTAAAGACAATATTTATAATAATTCCTACACTTTTCAACTTATTTTAATGTTAGTCCCAGGTGTATTGCCTTTTCATTTCGTTCAGTGTAGCGCTGCTGATAAACTTATCAGCTGATTGCGTCTGTGGTTGTCTGTGTGTGTTTGCCAACTGTCGTCGTCTGTGTGCACTGTGCTTTGGCTTGTGCATCCACAGTCACATTCCGGTCGCCCGCTTAGTCAGTTTTCGGTTTTCTTGGGTCTTCACTCCTCGATCTTGTCGGTCTTTATCCATATTTTCCGTCTTTAGTCTCCAGTTTTAAGTTTTTTAAATTTACTTTCCAATTAAAAACACTCGTAATCCAAGTTGAAAATTGAACACCGCCCCGGGAATGAGTCACCCAAGGAAATAAATACAAAATGTATCGAATCAATGCGATGATTCCCTGCTGGTAGGCTGATAAAAAACCAAGTGTTATCCAGAGACAAAAAAAAAAGCTGTAGTTTCTATACCCTTTGGGGCAAGGCTAGGTCAAGTTGACTGGTGATAAATATTATTTGTGAAAGTGATTGTGAATTTCAAGAGAAAAACCATTTAATAATAATAATAATATATACAAAATATATAACCAAACCTATAACCATATATACCTAAAACCATTATCTATTCCATCGCTTTTTTATGTGTGTTTTTTTATTTATATTTTTTTATTTGTATCTTTTTTTTTTGCAGCGGCGGCAAAGATGCTCATCTATTTGAGAAGGCCGCCGAGATGCAAAAGCTCAGCAGCAAAGCAGACGATGATACACCTGAGCAGCAGCAGCAGGTACAAAAGTTAAATGGCGACAAGGAAAACAGAAAGTCAACCGGCAGCAGTCCAACAACAACAGCAGCAGCAGCAGCATTATCAGCGACACCGCAACAGGTGAGAAAATCTAATGAAAAACACACACATACACTGTGGAGGGAAAACTTGACCCCGAAAGCAAATTGATGACCTAGGCCAAACAAAAAACGAAAGCAAAGCAAACCAAAGCTTTTTCTGAATTGTTTATTCTTTTGTAATTTGTTTTTCTCCCCCTCCTACACCTTTCGAGGCTTCCGGGAAATTTTTCGAACGTAAATGGAAAACCACATTTGATAAGCTATTTCCTTTCTTGACATATAAACAAATAGAGAGAGAATTCTGGGGATGGAGTGCCGCCTTAAAAATCTGTTTTGCCATTTCGCAGATTAATGATTAATGCTGGCATTATTTTCAGGAAAAGTTTATTGTTTTTTCCAAGGAAAAGTGCAGTATTATTCACCGATTCGGTGGCGATAAGATGGGCGATACGGTTGCAATGTTGTTAATGTCTGTTAATTGTAGTCCAGTCTACATAGATAAGGAGATACGTGGAAATAGGGGGATCCACTAAGGGAACCTAATGCTGCTGAACCTTGATAGGAATTAATAGAATTGATTTTTATTTATTTTATATTTTTTTTAATAATTAATTAAAGCTAAGAAAAGCCAGCAGTAGACATTTATTCATACAATATTATTACTAATAGCAGTTACAAATTTCTAAAGCGGTTACTAATATTTATTTTAATTTATTTAAGCTCTTAAGAGATTTTTCAAGTTTTTTTTTAAACATTTTTAATTTATTTATTTTTTTTAATACATAATTGGTTTATAATTTTTATTTGGAGTTTATGGTAGATTAAATGTTGCCATTTTATTATAAATAATTTAACAATTTTTTAATGCGGTTACTAATAATTTTTAAAATTTATTTAAACTCTTATGAGATTTTTCAAAATTTTTTTAAGCATTGTTATTTTATTCTTAAAATATTTTTATTTTAATAATTGGTTTATATTTCTTTTATTCAGAGTTTGTTGCTATTTTATTATAAATAAATTACCTATGGCTCTGAATTAAATTTTGCATTGCTTAATATTTTAGTTTGTTTTAATTCCCCTGGAAAATGTTTCTTTTAGATTTATTCTATTTTCGAAATTGGAAAACAAATCCCTTTCGTATTTTTTAGAGTTTGCATAGGTATGGTTTTTGATTTATTTATTTTGGTATTTAAAGGGTTTTTTAATTTATTTATGTTTTTATTTATTATTTTTTTTTATTTATTATTTTTTTTTATTTATTATTTTTTTTTATTTATTATTTTTTTTTATTTATTATTGTTTTTTATTTATTTTTTTTTATTTATTTCTTTATTTATTTGTTTTTTGTTTTTTATATTTATTTTTTAAAATATTTTTAAATTATATTTAATTAATTTCGAATTTAGTTTTACATTGAACCACCCTAATATTTAATTCACTGATTTAGACAAGTTTATATGTTCTGACTTTGGACATAATCAAGATCACTGCTCATAAAAAGCTATTTAAGTGGCAAGAAAAGAGCTTTAAGGAATTGGTCTAAAAGAGTAAAAGAGAAGAATTCCTAAACAAGTGAGATAATAGATCTTAGAGAGCGTGCGTACACTCTAAAAAATAAATAAAAAAAATATATAAATAAATATATTAAAAATATATAGAAAATAAATATACATCTGTATATATAAATACATTTATTTAAAATATTAAAAAAAAAAGTACATTATTTTTCTGAGGTATAACATTCTTAAGATGACCTTAGGTGCTTAGTTTTAACAGGAAAAAATAGGGAAAAATATAGAAAAACAATTCACGGTCGCTACTTTTGCTAATTTTCTATTTATTTTGATTTTTAAAATATTGAAAAGCAGTTAAACCTGCCAAAAAATAAGAGATCAAGTAAATATACCCTCTGATTTAAAAAAAATATTTTCTTAGTATTCTTTATTAAATCTGAAATGGGAATAATCTAAGCTTTACTTTCCAAGTTTACTTTCTCCCCCTTTATTTTTGGTTTATGATTTTATTTTGATGATTTTTGTGGTCAATGAAATATGGGGATTTCCATGATTTGCTTGGGTTTTTCTTCTCCTCCTTTTTTTTCCCCCAAGTATAAGAGTGTACACTTCTCAGTGGCCATTGATTGAGCATTTCGGATGACGATCAAGAATCTATCGCCAGCTCGTTAGTCACGAGTTGTTGGCCGCCTCGGCATTTGCTGTCCGTTTGCTGTTTTATTTTTAAGACCAATGTTTATTTTAAAGAAGAGAGGAGGAGCAGGCCCCACCAACATCAACACCCCCCCTCTGGCAAGTTGGGATCGCTCAATTTGGCTCTCCATTGCCCGATTCTATATGGACTATACACACTTATTAATAAGCTTTAATATTTGCTCGATCTTTTGGCGGTCTTTGTTTTATTTTGTTGCCTCAGTTAAGCGTTACGTGTGCTGTTGTGCGTTGTGTTGTGTTTACGTGTTGTGTGCTCTCGTTCTCCTTGATTATTTTTCGCATATTTGTTTACACGTTTTCCAAACTGGCCAATAGACCATTGGCCATCGTTATCTTTCCTTCCATTCGCCACAAAAATCCGCGGCCCATTACGGGTATATTTAATTACCTCGATCGAGATCCCGATCCTCGCCGCGTCTATATCTTCTGGACAATGTTCATGTGCGCCTCGTTCGAGATACGCTGAGTAAAAGCCAGCAACATCATCAGCATCATCATCATCTGTTTGGTTGGGGGGGCGCAGAGCAGCAGTCGGAAAATTGGAAAATACGCGCTGGCCCATCCAGCTCTTAGTTAGCTGGCAATTTCCACTGAAGACGCAAGTGATTGTCAAGAGTCTCGGTTTTCCAAATCTCGAATTAAAGCCTTAACCGTAATGTCTGTGTGGATGACCTACGTGCAGCATCGACGCACGGATGCCAATGCACGGCAGCGCATGGAGTTGTATTATTTAGTGAGTGGAAAGTTCAGGTTCACAAGGAATATAGTAAAAAAAGATTCTTAACTGGAATGTTTTTAAACTAAAATGGAGTTTAAGTGAAATCCCTCAGAAATCGAACATAACTAAGCCAAAAAATCATAGAATTCAACTCAAAAAGCTGTTCTATGTTAGTTTTTAATAGGCTAATGAATCTGCATACTTAAATGAAAGTCTAAAAGGAATTGAAATTTTTGGTGAATTTTTAAAAATTTGAACAATGTAATCCTTATAAAATTTTAATATAATTTTTTGGGACAAATCAAAAACTGAAAAAAATCATAACTCTGCCAAAAAAGCTTTAATTTTCAATCGGAAAACGGTTTTATGCTAGTTTTTAATAGGTTTATATATCTGAATAATTAATTTTAAAATTTAAAAAATTCAAAATTTCTTGAAATTTTCAGAATTTTAACGATGTAACCCCTTATAAAATTTTGAAAAATGTATAAATTTTTGTGGGACTAAAAAAATTATAACTCAGTTAAAAAAGCTTTAATTTTCAATCGGAAAACGGTTTTATGCTAGTTTTAAATAGGTTTATAAATCTGCATACTTAATTTAAAAATTTAAAAAAATTAAAAATTTCTTCAAATCTTAAGAATTTTAACGATGTAACCCCTTATAAAATTTTGAAAATTTTGGGTAAATAATTTTTTTCCTCCAACATGGCTAGAAAGACTCGCCTGTTAATGCTGATCAAGAATATATATGATTTATGGGGTCGCAAATGACTCCTTTAATGCGTAACAAACTTTTAAGTAAAATTATAATACCCTAAAAAGGCCCTGGCAAGGGTATCATGATCGGGAAATGCTTCATGTTTGCTTGTTTCCACGTTCTGCATATTCAAAAGATACTAGCTAATAAGTCTAATTATCTTAAAACATAAACAACATCCTTAAAACTTTTTGGAGTAAAGAAAATAAGCAAGATTATATTAGTAACTGATCATGAAATGTGAAATAAGATCGTAAAAAACTGATGCCAGTTTTAGGAAAAACCCCTTTAAAGTTTTAAATATCTTTTAAAAATTATTATAAATTAAAAATAAGTTAGACTATAATCCCCATGACTGTGAAATGCTAAATTTTCAATGTTTTCCCTATTCCCCAGTACACAAACTAGTTAATTTTCGTTAAGGTGCCGCAATATCCATATAAAAAAAAACTAGAGATTCGTTTTTGTAATTGTTTTTAAAGAAACAATAAAATCTAAATAAATATTGTTGTGCAGAAATATAAACAAAAAACACCTAGAATAACCAACAGAAACGCACTTTTTCTTGTGCTATATTTCAGCAACGCCACTCGCAACCGGAACTGGAACATCATGCCATTGCCCTGGGCCTAGGCAGTGGCACTGGTGGCGGCGGTCAATTGGTGGCCCGCAGTCCCCGCCCCCTGTCCGAGGCCAACAACTGTGAGGCTGGCTTGGAGGCACCCAAGTTTGCCAATGGAATGATGGACTCGACGATTTCCTCGGCACAGGCAGGCACGGATAATAAGCGGGCCAGCAGCAACTCACAGGACACGGCATCGGCGGGCAGTGGCAGTGGGAATAGCGGCAGCGGCGGCAGCACGGCCAGCGAACGGAAGCGCGTCCTGCCGAAGCACCAGCGTCCGCTGACCCGTTACCTGCCCATCTTCTCGCCGGATCTGAATCTGCGGCATCATATCGAGACGGCTGGTCACCAGATCGATCTGTGTCCGCACGTCTTTGTGGATGCCCAAAGCTGTCGAGGGTGAGTGTTTACAAACAAACGAAAATCTATATATGTATTTATATATATATATATATATTTTATATGCCGACAGATATCTGCACAAGCTGGGAGCCACGTTTCATGCGTGGTCGAGGCGCTGGTTTGTCCTGGATCGCCAGAGGGGAGCCTTGATATATTTTTCGGATAAGTCGGAGAGAAAGACCAGGGGCGGAGCCTATTTTGCAGTGAGTATATATGTATATATTTTATATATTTTTAAAATTATTTATATTATTTTAAATATTTATATTTTCTTATATATATTTGTATTATATATATTTGTATTATATATATTTGTATTATATATTTTTTTATATACGTTTTTATTATATATTTTAAATTATTTATATATAATTAATTATTTATGTATTTATATTTATTTATTTTATTAAATTTTTTTTAAATATTTTTTTTATATATTTTTTTAATATATTTTTTTAATATGTTTTTTTATATGTTTTTAATTATTTTTATATATATTTTTTTACATATTTTTGTATATATTTTTTATATGTTTTTAATTATTTTTATATTTTTATTTTTGCTTATATTTTTAATTATTAATATATTAATAATTATTTATATATTCTTAATTTTGTATATATTATTAATTATTTATGTATTTATATTTATATATATATTTTTAATTATTTATATTTTATTTAATTATTTTTATATTTTTTTATATGTTTTAAAATATTTTTATATTTATAATTATATATATTTATATTTTTATTTTAATATAATATTTGTATAATTATTTATATTTTTTTATTATACATTTTCCTCTTCATTCTAGTCCATTGACGAGGTCTATCTGGATCACCTGAATGCCTCGAAGAGCGGCCGACCCCATTGCACGTTTATTGTCAAGACGAAGAAGCGCAGCTACAATCTGCAGGCGGCCTCCGATTCGGCGGCGCGAATTTGGATCGATGCCATTATAACCGGAGCCCAGGGAAACCTGGACTATTAAAGAGCCAAAAAAAAAAAAACAAACAAAGAAAAAGAAAAGAATGGAAAACCCCAACACACAGACGCAGCAGCATTCTTAATTTAGTAAGTTGAACTAAGTGAGACAAAGAAACTAAGCATAAACTGTAACCGTAGCCAAGTAAGACCCAAAAGCCACAAGCCACGATTGCTCAACACAAGTCCTGTGTGTCCTGTGGTCACCTTTTTTTTTCGTTTTTGGCACAACTAAGTATGTAAATCCGAGATTTTAGTACTGGACCAAAAAGTAATCAATGTATTTTTATATATATATTTGAGAGATAGAGATAAGGTATATGTATAATGCTTCTACTTTTGTTATGGACTATTTTTTTCTATTTTTATATATATATATTTTATATAAATAATGTATCAAATGTATATCAAGGACAACCCCACGCTACTAACACCGCCATTAATTCAAATTCAAATTCATAAAGATGATATCTAATAGCAGCCTTGAAATTCAAAACGTTATTTATAATTTAAAAGTAAAAGTTTGCTCCAAAAATGAATTGCCTCGCCAAATGAATTGTGTTCATTTCACATAAACTCCCTTAAGAGCGACAGAGAAGGGAATAAGAGTTTGATTTTCATGTAAAAATGAACACAAACGAATTTCAAGGCACTGCTATTGTATTTATCACACATCTTATGATCGCATATACATAATACCTATATAGCATAATATGTTATACAGCCTAGACTAGAACTATATAGATATATAAATGCATATATACCAGTTTGTTTAACGATTCAAAAATGAAACACAACCAAAATGACTTGTTTTATTGTGAATTTAACTATTAACTTTTGCAAACTACTATATTTTATATATCCCTATATATACCATATGTATTTTGTATCGCAGAATATAGAGTTACTAAGCTGAAGACTAAAACTGAATGTTGAACGAAAGGATAATCAAAAGAGAGCGAGAGAGAAACACACCGCTACAAATATATATGTTAATAAAAAGAATGTTTTTTTTTTTGTATCAAAATAATCAAATTTATGATTGTTTATTTGCCAAAGGGTTGTGTATTGTTGCCTAAATTCATTAAAAATGCTAAAGGTAATACTAAATTTAGGGGGTGGTATTTATACATGTAAGCTAAATTCATTCTACTGAGACTTACTATACAGTTTCAAGATGATTTCTTAACTGATTTCTATTTATTAATATTTTTTTACTATTTACTATCCACTATAATTTATTTACTATTAACTATCATTTATTTACTATTCACAATAATTTATTTACTATCATTTACTGGGACAGTCTCTTTTTTTATTTATTTATTTATATTTTAGAAATATTAAATATTAAAAATTCTTGAAAATATTACTATATTTCGTACTTAACCAGGTACGTTTTTCTTTGTTTTTTTTAAGTTTGTTTATTTATTAATTAAATTAATAAATTAATTAAATTAAAATAAGAATATTAAAGTAAATTAGAAAGTTTATAAAGAACAATTATATAAAAAGGAAGTAGAAAAGTAGAAAATTTCTACAAATACTTAAAGTTCTCTTATAAATCGCCTAGCGACTAATGAGTACTCTGTGGTTTTTGTAAAACTCAAGTTTTTGTTTAAAAAAACTCCCAAGTATCCGAGCGGCGACGCTTGGCCTTGTGCATGCCCAGCTCCTGGTCCTCGTAGCGATCCAAATACTGCAAGAGCCAGCGAGAAAACTCGTTCATATACGGATCAATGTGCGAGATGACACGAAAACTCTTCACCGCTGGCGGTGGCTGTGAGATGCCGCCAAAGATTTGCTGGACAAAGTGCTCGCAGTGGAAGATGGCCACACAGACATCAGACTCGAGGACCTCCAGGCGCAAGGCCAGCTTGGCAAAGGATTCGGCGAACTGCTTAAGCACAATGTAAGTTTTGCTGGTGAAGACAGCTGAAAGGGGAGTTTTTATTATCTAAATTCTCGATTTGATGCACTTACTCACTGGGTCGCTCCTTTCTGGCTATTACATAGTACTTCTGCAGCATGTGCTGGGCCTTCTCCTCGAAGGTTACCTGTCGCTGGTTTAGCAGATGCAGCAGCATGCGCATGTCCTCCTCCGGTATATTCAAGCCATCCGGCTGGTCATCCTCCTGCTCGTCCTCTTTAGAGTGCTGGCGCAGCAGAAAGCTCCACAGGCTGTCCTTGCTAGTGGCTAGACCATCGCCCATATAAATGGGCAGGCCAAAGATTCTAAAACAACAGAAATATATAACCTCGATTGATATATAATCCCCTCCTGCTTACGGGCACAATTTGGCAAAAGTCAAGCTTTGATTGCTGGAATTCTCCGGCTGCCAGTGCATCCAAATGGCCGCCTCCAAAGCCTGATCCGTCTGCAGCTGCGGCACTGCCACCGAACCATTCTCAATGCTCTTCTCAATCTGCTCGCCCTGCTCCTTGGCCAGGCGTGTCCAGTCGCCCACATAGTAGACACCCTGCTGGGCCAACAGCAGGGGACTGGCCACCACCCAATTGTAACGCAACGATGACAGCTGGCCACCACCGGTTACAGTTGGCTGCAGCCCGTACTCGTGGGGTCCCACAAAACGCGGCGCCAGCTGGCCAATGGAGTTCATCAGGCGATGGGCCATCAGGCTGTCCGTGGCAATGATGCACAGCGATATGGGTGGACGCAGCTCGTCTGGTTCTATGGACACCAGGCTGGCCAAGAGGGCCATCTTGAGGTAGACATAACAGTCCATGGGCACACACTCCTGGCCCAGCTGGGCACTCAAGGCGTAGACGAAGGCGTAGTCCGAGTACCGCTGCGTCACCGTCTTGTGCAGCTTCTTGAGGTTGTGGGGCACGCAGTTAAGATCCGGTTGGGGGTAATCCTGGCCATGCGAGGCTGGTGACTGGAAGATCAGTTTGGGGGTGACAGGGAGTTGTTGTTGGTGTCCTGCCTCTGGTTGCAAGTTTGGGGTTAATAGGAGAGGCGATGCTTGCTCCTCCTCCTGCTGCTGCTGCTGCTGCTCCTCCTCCTGTTGGTGCTGCTCCTCCTGTTGGTGCTGCTCCTCCTCCTCCTGCGTGTCCTCCCTGTCCATATCCAACAACGACCCGCTGTAACACAAATCCGGGCTTATGACAGTCTCTGGTTGATTCTTCTCCTGAGGAGCCAAGGAGGAACTCAGCGTGTGGTTAAGCTGACTTGGACCAGAAATACTGGAGGGCAAGGGGTTCGCCAAAGAGACATCCTTAGGCTCCAGTTCCCCAGACGAGGAGAGGCTTTCCATTTGGAAAACCAACTGGCTGACCTCAGCATTATCCTCATTGACACCAGGTGGAGTTGGAGGAGGTGCAGCCACTGGACAATCCCCGATGCCTGGGCTTACAGATCTTTGCTGAGCCGCCGCCGGGGGGGCACTGTGGTAGCAACTGGGCAGGACTAGCGGAGCCTGGCTCTGGCTCTCAAATAACGAATCAATGTGGGCCTGCGAGAGCTGGCGGCGCTTGAGCGTGCGATTGAAACGCTGAAGGCGACGTCTTCGCTTAGGAGATTCTCCAGCTGGATGCAGTTGTTCTTGCTGTCGCTCTGGACGGAACTCCTTGGCCTTGGCATTCAGTAAAGAGCTATGTGTTGGAGCTGGCAACTGGTTCTCCACGGATGAGTCGTCGCTTTCCTCCCAGAAACTACGACTGCGGCCTTGTGGTTGATCTTTTGTGGCAGATGGGGAAGCGGGCACTAGTGCATCCTCCTTGCCAGCCGGAATTTCAGCAAGGGCAGAAGGATTCTCGGGCATCTTCTGACTTGAGAGACCCGGACTCTTTGGTGGCTGCCTCTGCTGGGATGGTCCCAGTTCCAGAGCTGGAGTAGCAGCTGTTTCCTCTGGCTGCTGGGATGTGGGTCTCTTCAAGATGGTTATCCTGGGCGGAGAACCAGAGGAAGGCGCCTTGCTGCGCTGACTCGGCTGACTTATATCAAAAGGCGACTGGACGGAGCTCAGCCACCTGGCCACAGCCTGATCTCTGCCAGCTGCTGTTGCTTTTGGCATAAAGTTGCCCAGAACTGGGCCACCGCGTCGAGAACGAGCTGTGCTGAGAGACTTAACTTTGGCTTCCGGCAAGGCCAGCGCCTTGACCTTCTTCACCTGCTTGCCCAAGTCGGGAAATGCCTGCTGATCGGGCCTAAAGGTGCCTTGAGAGGGGGGTTCCCTTTCGGCGGAAGATAAATGCCAAGCGTTTGCTGGGTTCTGCAGGCTTGGAGGCGATGGAGGAGTCTGGGCAGGGGAATCTGCTGGGGATTTAAGTGCTACCTTCTCCAGATCATCGGTGGTTGTGTCTGGTGTCACAACAGGGGTTGCAGTGACGCAACTAGCAGCGAGGATTGCAATGGAGCCCTCGTTGGACTGCTGGACTCCATCCTCATCCTCTTCGCGCAGAAACTCACTCAGCTGGATCGTACGGCGCCGGCTGGAGCGGCTGCAACCCTGGCTGCCTAGATGCTTCTTAGATGGCATGCCTCCAGGTGGTAGGTACTGGCCGAACCGTCAAAGTAGCCGGTGACGAGATACGCCGAGCCCAACTTTAACTCGCAGTCGTGGCTGTGGGCTCGCAATCGGATCAGTTTGGGGCGGTGCAGGCAACCAAGGAGACGCGGCGTCTGGACGGCGGAGCAGGGCAGGATGGCCAGTAGGCGAAATGTTTCCGTGACTCTCAGCTTCTGGTATTCACTCATGGGCCGGGAGCAGCCCGAACACAAGGGAGCTGTGAATGGAGAGAAGAAAGAGAGGTGACTGCACAATTTTGGTGGCTTAAACTGAAAGATAGATGGGTGACAGATGGATTACAAGGGGGTTTACAGGGGTTTTAAGGGGGTTTACAGGGGTTATTAGTGCACAAATAACAATAAATAAAGAAAGAAATCATGCTCTAGTTAGTTTTTAGCTTTAAATACATAAATTAATAGCGATTAATGTGAGTGATGTGAGTTGCTTGGTGGAATTGTTAATGGGGATTCAACGATACATTTGCCTTGGAAGACATACCATCCGTGGAGCTGGTCTGTATGGCATTGCGCATACAGCCGCTGCTGCAGAACCAAATTGATTGCAAACTATAAAAAAATACAAACTTTGTTGGATTTTAAGTCGCAAAACTGAACAGGGATTGCTCTCCCAGCCTTTAGTCTCTTGTAAGGCTTTAAATTTTTACAATCCCCAAGGGAAATCTCAGGTATTTTACAGATTTTGAACAGGAAATAAGAACCTTAAGCTTATTGACAGCTTTTAGTGGCCAATATTCAAGAAATTGCTCTACTTTTTGGCTTAAAAACAACAACATTTGAATCAAAATACATGAGAGAATCAAGAAATCATGAGAGACTCTTTCCCCCCCGGCTTACACCAGCGTCTCCCGTGGCGTATATGCTGCCAGGATGCCCTGCACCTGACTTAAGCCCAGGCGCAGGCACTGATCCCGCGGCTCAAACTGCAGGCACGGCGTATAGGGCAGACCCACCAACCGCCACTGGGCATGCAGCTGGCCAATATCGATGGCCTTTAGGCCGGCGGTCTTCAGGCGGGCCCTCACCAGCCCGTAGACAGTGTACCTGACCGCCTCGCCGAACTGCAGCGGCTCCTCCAGCACCAGCTGCAGCAGACGCGGCGCTTGCTCCAGCAGGTGGGCGTAGTCAAAGTCGAGGCGCACCTGGACGGGTGCCAGCAGATCCTCCGGGCGGCGTGTGCGCCGGTAGTGCTCCACGAACCTTTCGGCGGAGCCCTCCACCAACTTGAGCAGCTGCGTCTGGCGGCAGAACTGTTCCACCAGCCGCTGCTCGTGGAACCTGTATGTGTATATTCGGTATATTCATGTATAAAGTGTTCTTTTCCGGAGATCCATCTCCTTGTTTTTGTTGTGCCTTGAGAATTCTGTACACTTACTGGCTATTTGTCGGCGAATTGGCGTTTTCAACTTCTAACGGCGCTGCGGATTCCTGCAAGCTGGTGTTTACATTAAACATCTTACGAGGAAGGGATTTCCTCAATTGTGCACTTTGACGCTGAGAACTTGGCGAGAGAAATGTTTAATTTTTGTTTCAAAAGAGGTGCCTTGCTAGAGATGGCCGAGGGAAAGAACGAGGCAACAAAGCTATCGACATCGACTATCGACAGTCCGATAGTCTGGGCTTCTAGGGTCGCGTTGCCAACCACGCTGCGCATGCGTCCGTGTCATCGAAAACCTTGCAGGGTATTTTATTTCCAGTCCGCAGCTCATTACGCATTGATGGAGTCATTTCCGACCCCATAAACCATATATATTCTTGATCAGCATCAACAGGCGAATCGTTTAAGCCAACTCCGGAGGAAAAAAAATTTTTTTGTGATTTTTTCGAAATTCGATAAGGGGTTACATCATTAAAATTCTCAAAATTTGATAAAATTTTCAAGTTCAAACTAAGTATGCAGATTTGTTAACCTTATAAAAACTAACATAAAACCGTTTTCAAAAGTAAAATTAATGCATTTTTGACCGAGTTATGAATTTTCAAAGTTATGCAGGGTATTAAAATTTCAGGCAGAAGCTTAAAACTCATCGAAGGAATCATTTCCGACCCTATAAATCATATATATTCTTGATCAGCATCAGCAAGCGAATCGTTTAAGCCAACTCCGGAGGGGAAAAAATTTTTTTTGTGATTTTTTCGAAATTCGATAAGGGGTTACATCATTAAAATTCTCAAAATTTGATAAAATTTTCAATTTCAAACTAAGTATGCAGATTTGTTAACCTTATAAAAACTAACATAAAACCGTTTTCAAAAGTAAAATTAATGCATTTTTGACCGAGTTATGAATTTTCAAAGTTATGCAGGGTATTAAAATTTCAGGCAGAAGCTTAAAACTCATCGAAGGAATCATTTCCGACCCTATAAATCATATATATTCTTGATCAGCATCAACAGGCGAATCGTTTAAGCCAACTCCGGAGAAAAAAAATTTTTTGTGATTTTTTCGAAATTCGATAAGGGGTTACATCATTAAAATTCTCAAAATTTGATAAAATTTTCAATTTCAAACTAAGTATGCAGATTTGTTAACCTTATAAAAACTAACATAAACCCGTTTTCAAAAGTAAAATTAATGCAGGGTAGGTTTTATTAGGTTAATTATACAAAATTCTATGCTAGAAGTAAACACCCCCCCAAAAGTACGTGCAGCTCAAAAGTATGCAATTAAAAATTGTCTGCCCATAAAATGCTGCATCTTTTGGGCTGAATAAGCTTTCTACCAAAATAGTGGTGCATCTTTTGGGCTTTTACGCTGAACTTAGACTGGGAACAGTTTGCACTGCAATAGTTTTCATTATACTTTAAATATCTTAACACTTTCCGCAGACTGGGCTTTCATGTAATGTTTACAAACAAAAAAAAATGTTTTATTTCTTGCTTAAATAACGAAAAACTATGTGAAATTCTCAGTTGTGTAACTATTAAATATATACGTTGATTCCTGGTGCTGTTGATGGTTCACCTCGTGGTTCTCCTTTCTCCTTCCCTTTTCTCTCTTTCTGGTCTTTAAATATCCTAGAAGAAGCGAGTGAGTAAAGTGTGCTGTACCCCGTACCCAGTTTCTGTCCGCGCTCCGCACACCTAACCCTGATGCTGGTGGTGCCACCAGCCCGACTGGCGGGCATTGACATAAGTCTTCAGGCCGCCGTCCTGGACAGGCGACATGGGCTGGTGGGTAGGAAAGAGATGGGGGCCACTGCTCTCGTAGTTGATGCCATTGTGCTGGTTGAAGATGTAGGCTTTGGGCACCTCCACGCCGGCTGGGCCCACGGTATTCGTGACGCTGACAGTGGAGACGGGGCCCGGATTGGCCGGCAAGTAGGTGCGGCTTGGAGGCAGCGGCTGCGGCGACGCCGATGGTCCCCAGCTCGTCTGCGGTTTCAGCGGCAGCGCAGGACGATACTGTTTGGTGTACAAGGGAGGACCAATCGGTAGTACAGGCTGCTTTGGTATGGACACCGTATTTGGGGGTCCGTAGGCGTTGTTCCTCAGATCGCAGACGGTGTTTTCGACCAGAGTCGCCAGCGGGGCAGTATAGATGCGGAAGTTCGTGTCCGCATAGTCCAGGTCGGAGAGCAAGAACACGGGCATACGATCCGAGAGGACCCAAACGTTCTTGTTCTCGTCGATCTTAACGTCGGCGGGAAAGACCAGACCCACATCGTCCCGGTCCACGATACCGTGGAACTGCGGCGAGTACGGCATCGAGGAGTGCCAGCATCCGACGGCATTCTGGTCAATCAAGTTGAACAGCTCCACGCCGTCGTCGCTCATCACCCGGGACGTAGTGTGGGCATTCGGACCACGCTCATCCAGGGCCACAAAGTCATGGTAGCTGTCCTCGGTGCGGGTCTCGTCCCTAAGGATCCTCGTGGAGACGGCAAACTGGCGGTGACTGGCCAGGGGGCTGAAGTACAACGTTCTGAACCCATCCGAGCGAATAGGCGATAGGGACATGCCAAAGATGCCCTCCTCTCCCCACTGGAAGTTAATGCCGGCGATATTGAAGTCGCCCCTTAGGGGATCTGGAAAGAAGTACGAGTGCGCCGAGAAGCGCCAGGACTTGTTCAGCTCCCAGGAGTAAGCGATCAGGCCGTAACCCAGCTCGTCCGCAAAATAGGCATATGCATCATCACAATTCTTGCCAATGTCCACTGCAATATTGGCTATGAAAGTGTTCGGATTGGTGTCCACTGCCGGCAGTTCGTAGCGCCGGATGCGAGTGTCCGTGGTCAAGTCGAAGACATTCACCGCATACGGGCAGGGGTTCCTGGTGGTGTTGCCAATGCCCACGGTGCCGGTGTCCAGCACCCAAAGGCGGCCACACTCGTCAACCTTGATGCGATACGCTGTGGTGATGCTGTTGGCGCAGTCACCGGCTGTGTTTGCCCGCCAATCCGGATACGGAATCAATTCCGGCGATCCTGTCAGACTGTGGTCCATGTTGATGTAGGTGAGAGTGGCCGGGATGCCTGTAAAAATGAATGTTAAATGATCAATTAGATTATAAATAAAATGGTTTATAAAATAATTAAAATTAATTACTGTGAGGAAAATGGGAAATGTAAAATAATGGGATGTTCTTTATTTGGTTAGCCTGCTGCTTTTGGCTAAACGTGTGCTGCTTGGATTGGGCCACAGACGTTGCAGGTTGCCAGTGTGCAGGTGGCATGCAATTTCCGATGTCATTAGCCCCCACTGAGGCAACACACTGGAGGAGCAATACCACGTTGTCGTCGTCGTTGTCGTTGCCACGAGCCTCAACCGACGATTTCCGCTCCAATTGCTTCTTGGTGGAGTCACCCCGTCTCTCCAGCTCTCTTGACCAATTTCAAGGCGTTTTTGGGGGCGACATTGCCACGTCTCCAAGCTTGGAGTTCCTCCCCGATCCACGCCTTTCAATTTGTGTTATGCTTTGGATTTCTAAAGCCATGAAGCGGGTATAATAACAAGAAAGTCTCTTCCTAAATGGCTGACTGTAAGTGCTCTTAATTAATTCCTCAAATGTTCTGTTTTTTGTTGCCTGTCGTCAACTTTGTAAAGCTAATCTGTAAATCAGACTCCAAAATCCAGATTCCAGTCTCCGCCCCTAAAATTCAGACATTTTTTTGCGAACTCATTTGTGATTTAGATCGAGCCACACACCGAGCAGCACAGCTAATGTTCGTGTCCACTTCGTGGTTCAGTGGCTCAATGGATAAATGGCCAAATGACCGGAGGCTGTGCTCTGCGGCTGCGTGGCTGTGTGGCTTAATGAATTTATATGAAATACGGACTTGTCTTGAAACTCCGCCGAGTTGTTGACTCGTTACCCGGCCAATTAGTGTTGCCAATTCCCAGGTTAGCAGTGGCAGTTGCACTCGCATTCTGATTTCAATTTCGTTTTTGAGTCATGGCTTGTAACTCGTATCTCAATTTGTAATCCTGTCGCTGTAGCTCATTACAAATGTGAGAACACAGCCCTAAACAGGCTACCTACCCCATGGCTTTGCCATTACTATTTGATTTGCATAATGAGCTTTAAGTACGGTGGCTCAATAAATCATAACTCTTTATTGTCAACTGCAGGTGTTGTCTACCTGTTTGGCTGTTTGGCCGCCGATTTGCTCTGACTAATTGATTGCTTTTGATGGCCATTGAAGCATTAAGCCTTTGCCGCAACTTTCACGTACTTTATGTTATTGTTTTGGGCCTTTTTTTTTTTTTTTGCCTTATTATGACCTTCTGGCCGCAAACCATTGGCTTGGCATTCTCAAAGCTGGAAATGTAACAGCTCAAGGCTAGGCCAGAATGTAGGGATTGAAAAAATGGTTTATTGATTATTTAACCAATAATTAAGCTTGTGAAATAAGATATTTGCCAAAAAACTAAATCTTGTTAAATTTCTGCAATCTCCGTGATATTCGTTAGAGACCCAATCTTTGCTTTTGTGAAACTCTCACTCCGTTTCTACTGAAAACTAATCATGGGCTAATGGCATAATGCCTTATAATATGTTATTGTCTGCCATTGGATTTCCATTTGTGTAACGCCGGCGACCCTGAAGAAGCCTTTACAATTGCCAGATATACGAATATATATTGGATGGTCGTCATATAATACCATATAATGCCAATGCCGATTCACAATCCGCTTTACAACGGTTAATTGTTTAAAAAAAATAACAAAATGTAAATGCAACACCTGAATGCGCGCCCCGCAAGTATCAACCGGATTTGTGAGAGGTCAACTCGCGTGCCCAAGTCCAAACCCAAGCCCGTGCCCATCATCAAAAGCAAGAGTTTGGACACAATTTTGACAGCAAGGTTCTTTGAACACCGGAAACGAAATCCATTCTTTGGAAGCTCCCTCAATGTAAGGCACACCCGAAAACGTATCCTTGAACTTGCAAATCTTCTGCTGCTGTTGTGAATCTTTCTAAAAATAATATAATGTTCAATTCAAAAAGAAGAGAAGCTGTAAAATTTTGTTTCTTGGGCATTGGGCTCCTCAAAAAACCCAAAAATCTGACTTTGCACAATTTAAGCAAAACTCTTATAGGGTTGGTTGCCAGTAAAGTCCAAGTCTAAGTATCTTTTGGGGCTCCTTACTTGTTTCACAACCACAATTAGTCACTTACAGCATACAAGAAACCTGACAGCAATTCCTCAATCAACCCAATTCCACACTTCCACACCCAAAGTGTGGCAAAGTGTTAATGATGCCCAAAAAACGGATATGTTGTCACTCAAATCTGCATCCGGACCAACTTACCATCTCGCCAGCGGGGAACGGTGACAAAGAGGCGGTTCCCAAAGTGCTCGACGCCGACGGGCAAGCCATTCTGTGGTATGTAGTCACCGCTGGCCAGGGCCTGCTCCTTGAGCCGGGCGTTTGGGAAGGCAAAGTCCAGTTGGTTCCAGCTGTAGCGCTCCTGCAGCTTGTAGGCGGCCCACGAGGGAGACGCGAACAGCAGCGTGGCGAGCAGCAGCAGCAGCGGCAGGATGCATCCTTTGTCCTGGACAAACCTCATGGCACACTTCTCGGGGCTACAAACGCACAGACGACACTGGGGGCCGATATAAGGATATGGCAAGGCAAGGCAAGGCAAAAACCAAAAAAAAAAAAAAGAAGGAAACAAATTCCTGATGCACTACTCCTTCTGTTTTAGCTGGGGGCCCAATCTGTATATTTATTTATTGTTTTATCCCCTTCTGTGGACCGTGGCGCGCTTACGACTGTTGGCCACAATATGTCGGCCACGTTTTATATGAGGTTTTTTTTTGTTCCGAAGACGAAGACGAAGCCAATGACGAAGACAGGCCAGCGAAAACGGCGGCGAAACTACGAAGGCGCCAACGCGTGGTGGCACTCGGCGCACTCCGAGCTTCGTCTGGACACAGATCGCATGCCTCTCGGTTCGGTGCTCGGCTCGGTGTTGCTCGGGTCAAATCGGTGGTACTAGCCATGCTGGAAGCTATACTTCACGCATGTTTAGCGGTCGCCAGAGTTCCGTTTAAGAAATACACATCGAGCCGCACTGAATCAGAGCCGACACCTTTCGCCGGTGGTGGACTCTTTGATATACAGGTAGAGGTATATAGGTTTTCAAAATTTTAATACTCTTTCGAAGGGGCAGTGGGGCTAAGGCTAAGCCTGGATCCCGACCTTCGCCAATGACTGGCTACGTGCGCCTGCGCTCGTTACTTATTTGCAAATCAATTATAAAAAACAAGAAAGGAAGCTAACTTTGGCTCGCCGAAGTTTGTATACCCTTAAAGTTTGCTATGGGATCATTAAGAATCGCTTTTTACATTCCCGGCTTTAGATTTTATTTAAATTTACAGATCATTTCTATGGCAGCTATAAGATATAGTTGTCCGATTTTCGGGAAATTTACACCAAAACTCTAAAATAATAAAAGAAGCTCATATCCTAAAGTAGATGAAAATACGTTGAAAAACAACAAAGTTATACTTATTTTTCTCCTAATTTCACGATCCTTCCTATGGCAGCTATATGATATAGTTGTCTGATTTCTTAAAAATAAAAACCATAAATCTGAATTAATAAAAAACGGGCAAATCCCAAAAATAATCAAGATATGTTGAAAAACAGTCAAGTTATAATTTTTTTTCTAAGAATTTGTCGATCATTTGTATGGCAGCTATATAATATAGTCGCCCGATCTGGTCCGTTCCAACATATATAGTAGTAAGAGTATTCAGAAGACTATATACAACGTTTCATTCAGATAGCTTTTAAACTGAGGGATTAGTTTGCGTAGAACATGGCTAGATCAACTCGCCTGTTGATGCTGATCAAGAATAGGAAAGGTCTCCTTCACTGATATCAAGATAGGCAATATTCACAACCATTTACTAGACAAATCCAAACACCAATTAGTTTGTTGTCACCTCTAATCGTTGTAATTTCCATTAACAACTTAATGGCATGAAAAATCATTTACCAAAGCCTTAGCTATTAATTTTCACCCACATTTATACATTTATGAATATACAGACTTCAAAGAGTATTCAAAGCTCGCGTAACTGGGCCTGGTTTCGATTGAATGGCCATAGTTTGGGTTTCGATTGGTGGCTTTCAATGATTCACAATTCCGGCGAGGGTCAAATATTTGGTTTCCGCTACTTATGGGCTGAGGTGTGTGAGGTGTTAAGGTAACCCCAGGATATGAAAACATTGCCTAAGAGAAGGTATTGCAGTTGCGAAAACCTAGACTTTGCAAGACTTGTGGTCCTGAGCCGTCACTCTGCTCTTCTCACCTGGCTTTTAGGGCATCCCCCTTAGAGCTTAGAGTGGGGGGTACTGGCTCTGCTCTAATGGCCATCGCCGCAAGATCCAAAACTGCAACCGAAGGCGTCCGTCCGCATAACTCTTGGCCCAATATGCATTTTTTGGTCAGCCAAAATGTGAGGAAAACAAAAACAAGAATAACGCATAATGGAGAGGGAGAGACCGAGGGGGCTGCGAATGTTTTACGACCTCCACTGATGAAGTGGTTTGCATTAATCCTAAACACCATAGGCTACACTTGAAACAATCGGGAGTTGTTATGAACTCAACTCACTAAGGTAACTCCTGATATTTCTACTCAATATCTCAGTATCTCAGCTCTTAAAAGCTTCAACATTAATTTTTAATTTGCAAAATGTGTTAATTTTCAGAATAATAATGGTTTCTCGCTCTAATTTAACGACTTTGTAAGATGCTAATTTAATGGCAATTCGCAGAAAAGCCGTTTAACTTGATCCCTTGGCCGCATTCGATGTCTCACCCACAGAATTTGCAGCAAAATAAATAGAAATAAATCCGCAAAGACACGCAGCACACGAAATATGCTCCACATAATTACGTTTAATGCTGCCTGAATTTATTGCAAACGCCGGATCGCCGGATCGGACCATAAAAAGCCACAACCAGTGCGTTTTTATTAATTAATTGTGTGAGCTGCTGCCGCAGTTAGGTGGATGTCGTTCGTGGCCAGCCGTCTGGTGGCTAGTGGCTACTAGCTGCTGCCTGGATGTTGCTGTTGATGCTGTTGGTGTTGTGTAACTGGATGCAATTAATGATGCCATCGCCAGCAGCAGCAGCAGCAGCAGCCATTAACCCCTATAATTTAAATTGAATTGACTTGTTTAGTGTTTTTATTTGTGGGATATCATCCTCCAAGAGCCACCAATGAAGCATCAGCCAGGATAACTGTGGATGTACTTGGCCAAAGTCAAAGTAAAGACTACTTTGTCATGTATCTCATGAATCGGTAGAGGATATTCTCCAGTAAAAGTTCTAGGTTTTAATCCTAATTAGTTTCTTAGAACCAATTTCCCATTTTCCACACTCCTGAGAGTGTACAATTTTCGGTTTTCCGCAGCCTTTTCGCTACTTACTTGTTTTAATTTTGATTTATGCTCAACTCTTTTCCCAATAATTGAAACGAGTTTTTCCAGCAACGAAAATCAAAAACAAAACAACATTATCAAGTGACGAGAGCCGCGCTAAGTGGCCAAAAGACTCCTCCAGTCCGATCCGCACTCTTTGGCATAATTGCCATTATGCAATGCAACCTGCTAGCAAGACATTAGCGGATCGGTTGACTTGGGCGGAAAGTAAAATGCAGGCAGCCAGGCTTTGAAATGACATTGTCCGGCTTGTGTGTTTTCCTCCTTTTGGACAGTTTTCCAGGCATACGCTTATGGTTATCCTCCGTTCGGGGGTTTGGCACTTTTTTTTTGGCTTGGCCGTTTGGGAAACCTGTTCCCCTGTAACCTAAGTTTGTCCAAACGTTTCGTTCATTTCGGTTTTCAAGTTCAATGTCCATGGCCCTGACCGTTGGCCAAAATCGGGGTGGACAGAAAGATTTCCTGCTCAACCATCAGAGATCCTTGTGTGTCCTCCTTGACATGCACTGTGGTTATTTTTTACAAATTATTTCAACAATATAAACTGTATAGTAATTACAATTGCAGAGGGAAATCATCATCATCATCTGTGCTCTCTAAGTTTGATAAGATCTAAAATCAAAGATCAATTCACTACACACCTTTTTTTTGCCAGTGCAAAATTCAATGGCAACATTAAGTAAATAAATCAGGCTGCAGCTACTTTTCCGTGTAACTGCGTTGCATTCAAAACGTTGCCACAGACATCAATTTGGCCGCAATACCGCCGCGGCGGTGCACTTGTCACGCAAGAGGAAAAGCAGTTGTCGAAAATGCTGGGTAAATGGTGCGGATAAGAGATCGTTGTGGGGTTTAAATAATGTGGCATAAATCAGCGAGCTGCCTTCGAAATTTATGAGCTAAAGCGACTTATCTTAAGCCAATCGTAATCTGCACTTCTTATGGCTCTTAAAGCGACTCAATGTGGTAATCGATCGACAATCGGTTTATAATAACATTTCCATTAGTTTTTTGGATTTTAAAAGTGCGTTGATTGCGAGATAATCTTACTGGCTGGTGCGTATAAGTTACAGACTAAAGTGGCCACCCAGCAGACAAAAACCTGCGTTTATGATATTGAAAACGATAGTTTTACGGATTTCAAGCGGACAAAACGTTCGATTCGAATCACCTGTCATGGGTTTTGTGGCAGAAAATTCTATAATTTATGGAATCCGAATAAGATTTCGACATCTTTAACGGGTATAAACCTGAGAATTTGCAATACTTGTCCGTTTTGCGTACGTTTGCTCATCCGCTTTTGAGCATTTAGCGAAACTAAAGCGGAAAGTCCGAATCTTTGTTCGATTTTAATATTTTTAGCAGACATTTGAAACTCAATTTGGGGATTTTTTACTTATACAAAAATATTTATTTTAAATTGCATTGATTTTATCCACAGAAACAAAACAGACAATCCATAAAACAATACAAATTATACAAAAAAAATATATATAAATAAGAATATACAAATTAAAAAAGAAGCTTTTGTTCTAGAACCACCATGGGGGCGGTGGGCGCACATAGTCTCCCACATTCAGGTAATCCTGTTGAACGTTGCCCTCACTCAAAAAGGATTCGTCCGATTCCGAGTTTCCAATGAGCGATTCATCTGACCAATCGTCCTTATGTTTGCTACCAGCATTCACAAGGGAGCTCATCACGGCGAGGACAAGGACAAGTCCGAGAAGAAATTGGCTAAGCAGCTTCATGATGGTAATTGTCTCGGGTTTCAGTGAATGGAGAAAGTGATATGCTGCCGCCTTATATACATACGAAAAATGGAACCAGAATCCAGGTGTTTTGCCGGGTTTTTTTCTGCCAGAGTTTTTGTTTGGCTTTTAGCACAATGAAAATTGGGCCATGTTTGTCCCGATTGAGCTGGTCAGGGTCTCTCGCAGTCTCTCAGAGCATTTGAAATTAGAGTCTGTGTTTGCTCGGGTTAGCTGTGCGTGCGTGCGTTGTCTTTTCGCTTTTCTCCAACGCCTATTGATTTCCCGGTGAAAAGTTGTTGTTTCTGCCAATTAGCTGGCTAAAGACTTGCCATGCCAAAGCATTGAAAACGAAAACGAAATTGAAATTGAAATTGAAATCGAAAATGAAAAATGAAAATGAAAACTGTCTGTCGTCTAGTGTCGAGTTTTGGCATGGCCTGGCCGCAATTAGTTGTCAATTAAAAAGTATTTAGATAAGCTGCTTCCTCCTCCTGGTTGATAGTATCATTAGTTAGGCCAAAAACACGTAAAGGAAGCACACTCTGATTGGTAAATTTCTTTCCTTTCTAATTATGACTTGAAGTTCAAGGTCTTCACAGCTTGGAAAGCTTCGAGTTACAGATGGAATAGCTTATAGGAAGTGGCTGAACTCGTCCAGGGTTAGCTTAGTCATCCGACAGAGGCTTCAGCGAAACGATCCACTCTTGTTGGACGCTCCCCGCTGCCTTTTGAGTGTAATTAGTAATTAGTAATTAGTGTTTTATTCCAAGTCCGAATTCTAAGTCTCTAATTATGCATAAAAACTGTGCCTTTGTCTTGGCCAATTAAAAATTTAGCGATAGGAAAGCGCGGCGGCGGCAGCAACAACTTGTTTAATTATCAACTGAAGCTGAACACACACAGAACACTGAGCTTAAACAACTGCTGCTAAACGGAGACCTAAGTGGGCTGGTGGTGGTTCTAAGCATTACGCCGGTATTACCAGACGGATGCATAGGTTTTGGCCAGGCTAAACGAGCGACCTTGCCATGGCCACGCTCTGCTTACCAATTGCCGATCTGCTTTGACGACAGCCGAAAAACTGCACTCTCACAAATTGGTCAATTGCAAATTGGAAACTATAAAAACTGTAAGCGAAAAGTTCCGCTTTGTTTCTCTTCTTTCTCTTTTCTTGATCGTTTTTCGCGATTACGCATACGCCGCGGTGTCCAAGGCTGGCAATGATTTGCTCTTAAATGAATATCGAGCCGCAATGAATGTGTGTTTCCAGCATTAAATTAAGCTGAAGAGCAGGGTTAAGTCATGATGAAAGCTGTGAATACCTATTACTATTATTAATTTTCTAAAAGAATTCATTTGTCAAAGCCCACAGCCACCCACCCCAATATTTGTGCTTGGATCAACCCAGCAGACAAAAAGCGGTCTAAGTGCGGATGGATTCGAAAAATTCGGACAAAGAATCAGATTTTCCGCTTTAGTTTCGCTAAAAGCTCAAAAACGGACACTAAAACGTACAAAAATCGGACAAGTATCGCAAATTCTCAGGTTTATACCCGTTAATGATATCGTAAAAGGTCCGCAATCGAATTCCCATTCGGATTCCGAAAGTTATAGCATTTTCTGCCACACAATCCATGTCAGGTGCTTAACTTTAAGATTGTTTATGAGCCGGAATCGAACGCTTTGTTCGCTTAAAACCCTCAAAACTATCGTTTTCAATATCATAAACAAACGTTTTTGTCGGCTGTAACCAAATCTCTTTGGACTTGTTTGTAAGTCTCTAAATAGCCCTGGCTACTACCACTTCTCTTACGAATTCTTTTAAGGGGTATTTGAATTATTCGAAATTGAAAATCGAGCTGTTCGATTGCCTGAGTGAACCAGCACACCCGTTTTTGGCTTTAACCCTAAACCTCTGCCCAACCGGCAAGGCTGAAACTGCTACCAATCCAATGCATCCATCAATCAATCAATGCTAACATTTCACTTTATGAACGGTTCAAAAAACAGACCGAATCAAATCAAAGCAAACAAATTTAAGCAAATGCAAAAGCCACAAAAAAACGAGTAAAAACAAAAGCAGAGGGCGAGCCCTCCTCGGAACCTGTTCATTGGCGCGGTTTCTCTATGGGTTTTTGTATATCAAATATCCAATTAAATTACACAAAAGTTGGCCCCAAAGCTAATGCTGGTGACTGTCTTGGATGGCCAGAAAAAAGCTTGTACAAGCACACAAAACTTGAAACTTAACAACTTGAAAATGTATATAAACTTTCTGTATAAAGTTTTTGCACTTAAAAAAATATAAAAAAAAAGATGTATATATAATTAAACATAACTAAAATTAATTGATGTTGAACCACCAAGGTGCTGGCGTGGGTTCATAGTCCTTCACATTGATGTAATCGGGATTTGGTGGATACGAAATCGATGATGAATAGGCGGCGAATCTTCGATTCTCTGGAATACCATTACTCCTGCGATTCCATCTTAATCTCTTGCTATTGGGCCGCTGTTTAGCAGAGTCCTCTTTAAGCTTCCAGTCGCTTGTATTTTCCTTCACCCGCTGGCTCTCCAGTTCGTTGATTGCCTCCAAAAGTAGATCCAACTTTTGAGTGCTGTCCCCTAACTGGGAGTCTTTCTCTCCAGCCGAGGCAATAGAAATTGCTGCCAGCAGAGCGCAGGTAAAGATAATCCACTGACTTGCCATAGTTCCAGCCTTAATCTAAGTTGGGGCAACTGTCTAACTGAACTTTTATATGTTGCTGCTGTTGGGGTGGAGTAGATACAGATACACATTGCAATAGGTACTTGACATCGTTTGGTTCTCTCTAGAAGAAACACAGCGTTGGGCTTAATGTTTGCTTCCAGCAAATGTTAATTAGAGTAATGCATACATCGGCTGTTCACAAGGTCAAGCATAATGTAGAAATTTTAATTAAATTTTTAAATGCTTACTTAAGGCGTACAAAAAAGTATGCAATGGGATAGTTAACCGTGTGACGAAGCCTACTCTTGGGGTAGCAATCGAACCACAGCACTCTAAAATCTCTAAATAAACCCCAATCACATGTCTCCATAAACACTTTTCTTTAAATTTTCATATTTTTCCTTTCGATTTTATTCAATATATAATTAAAAGTCGTTTTTGTTCATAGTTGTAACTCAGAAAAAAAAAAAATATTAAGTGTATCTGCTATACACACACACACACAATAGTGCCAGAAGGGGAGGGATAAGAGGGGCCTAGGCAAGGTTGGGCCAGGAATGGGATACATAAGGTTGTATTTGCTTTAGTTACAGTTCAAGGGCTTAGTGGTCTACGAGTGGCTGGGATCGATCTTCTTCACATTTTATCTGGGCTCCGCAGCCGCCAAATTCCGTTTCGGTGACTTTATCAGGGCGCAGGCATCTTACTTACAATGGTATCATTATATCCGCGTTATCAGTAGTTTTTTAATTAAGGTAATGTGTACAAAGCTAACGGGGCAAAGGGTTCGGGTTCGGGTTCGTTCCGATGAGCAATCTTAAGGGACGTTTCTGTAAGCATCCATCCAAGTTAGGAGTGCTCCTCAACGCATCGTGACGAGTATTCTATTCAGGATTTATGAATGGACGAATGACCTCTCTCTCTGTGCGTCCGTCCGTTTGCTGTTCGTTGGCTGGCCTTCCGGCTTACAGAATCGTGCCGGGCTTACGCAGCGGCAGACGACGCCGCTGGCCAAGGAGTCCCAGACCGCGAGCCTGCTGCTTGGTAGTGCTCTCCGCTGCCTCCGTTGCGCTATCCTGCTCCGATTTGACGGCTCCCTCGGCCCCAGACTCATCGCTGGCGGCGGCATCGCTGGCATCCTCCTTGACGGGATGCTCGGCAGAAGCGTCCGACGACGAGTGCTCTTCCTCAGAAGGTGCTTCTGGTTAGGAGAGATATGGGTTCAGCAAAGATTAAGAACTAAATGTATAAAGTGAACTCTACCTGTGGTGGAGGTGGCTCCGGCCAGGTGGAGTCGTCGCTTGGCCAGCAGCGGATTGATCTTACGGGGCGCAGGTGCAGGAGCTGGAGCTCCGGCTGCGGCTGCCTTTGGCTTGGCCGCTTCAGTCTTGTGCAGGGCATTGAGGCGTGGCCGGTTCTTAAGGCGATTCAGCCCAGTGACGGGGCCAGCTGGAGCGGGGGCATCGCCGCTCTCGCTGCCCGCCTCCTTCTCGCCGCCCTCCTCCTCCTTAACGTCGTTGTGGTGACTGCTGCTGTCGGCGGCCGAATCCTCGGCCGCTGCTGCCGTCTCCTTTGGTGCCTCGGTGGAGACTGCGGTGCCGCGACCCAGTTTGCCGCGTGGCAGCAGCCGGTTGCCTCCGGCGCGATGCAGATTGAAGCGGGAGGGACGCACTGGCTCCGTGGGTGCGGAAGCTGGGGCAGCGGCCTTGCCTTCTTCCGAAGAGCTGTTACCGCCCTCAGAGCCAGATGTTTCGGAGGCCCCTTCGGCCACTGGTGCCTTGGTTGTGGTGGTGCGACTGCGTCCGCGCAGTCCCAGTCCAGGACGACCGCGTAGTGTGCTGCGGGCGGTGGTAGAGGAGGGCTGGGCCTCGTCTCCCTCAGCAGCAGCGGCACCTCCTTCTTCGCTGGGCCGCTCAGTAGTGCTCGTGGTGGTGGAACCGCGCAGGTTGAAGCGATTGCGGGCTGCAAGATTTGAGGTGAAACATTTGTTTAATCTGCAAACAATTTGCTCTGTTTCCTCTTGTGAAAATGCCTCTAATTGGTAACGAAACCGTTTATATTCAAATCTAATTTCCAGTTCCGGCCTTGACCTAGTCTGTAAATGTGCCTGCTGGCTTTTAGGCCAAGGCGAATGCCAATAACCGATCATTCAGGGGGGTTAGTTAGGGAAACCCAATGATCGAACCAAATTTATGCAAAGTGGAAGCGAGAAGCAGCTTATTAGCGGCTCCCGCCTGCATTTTAAATATTATTAACTATTAAGGCCCTAACCTTTTTAGCTTTTAACTGGGCTAACAAAAGACTAGCTTCACACTCCTCTACTTACGTCTGCCACGCGCAAAGCCAGAGCTGACGGGCTTCACTTCTTTGGCCACCACTACCTCCTCTTCGCCGGCGGGGGCAGCTGGGGGTGCGGCCTCTGGACTGGCGGTGGTACGGGCACCAGGACGGGATCGTCCTCCGATCGAAGGGCGAGAGAAGCGGTCTGGCGATGGAAAAAAATATATGAATTCAAAGCTTCAAGGACTCTTCAAGAGGCACACTCACTTCTGCCCGTCTTGGTGGTTTCAGTGGAAGCTGGTGCCTCGGTGGTGCTGGTCGTTGTGCTGACTCCGCCCTCCCGCAGCTTGAAACGGTTGCGACCGGCCAATCCACTTAGGCCCGACCTGCGACCACCGTAGAGCGACGGAGCCGCCGTTGTCGTGGTAGTTGTGGTTGTGGGCGCCTCCGTAGTGGTTGTGGTCGTGGTTGTGGTAGTGGTTGTGGTGGTGGTGGTGCTGCTAGTCGAGGAGATCTCGTCGGTCAGCGTGGTCAGGCCGTCGTCTTCGTCGGTGCTGGCAGTGTCCGGGATGAGGGTGGTGTACCGATCGGGGGATCCTTCGGTGTCCGCAATGGCGGTGGTCTGCTCGTTGTTCAGATTCTCATTGGTCAGAATAGCGTACAGATCGAGGGCGGCCTTCTCCATGGAGGGCGTGGTCTGCTCGGCTTCCTCCTGGTCGGCCGACGATACTTCCTTCTTGGTCTTCTCCAGTTCCAGCTCCAGTTCCTTCTCCTTCTTGCGGGCCGCCTCGGCGGCGGCAGCGGCGGCTGCCTGCTCTTGCTCGATGGCAATCACCGGCTTCAGGTCGTTCTCTCCGCTCTTGCGGGATGCCTTGGTCTGCTTCTCGTCCGTGTTGAAGGTCTCGCTGTCCACCAGCTCCAGGCTGGGGCGTTTCACACTGATCTTCTTGCGCTCGGCAGCCGTTTCCAAGGAGTCCAGGGCTGGCGTCGGCGGAACCTCAATGTTCTTGCCGCGACTCGGGAAGCGTGTGATCATGGGCAGGCGCTCCGCCTCGATGTCTTCCGCCGCGGCCTCCGAGGATCGGCCCTTGGCCTTGCCGCTCTGCAAGCTGTTCTCGCTGGGCGTGGCCGGGGTGCTTCTCTCAATGTTGGTGTACCTGGTCTTGCCCCGCGTCTCCGGCGTTTCCGCGGGTGCCTGGACCTTCGAGGAGCTGGGCTCGTCATCCTCCTCGTAGTAGTAGACGTACTCGTACTCATAGTCCTGGCCATTGGGACCCTTCTTGATCTCGATCCTGGACTTCTTGCTGTTCTCGCTGCCCGCACCCTCGAGGGCGAAATTCTGGTTAACAAACTCCTCATGCGGATCCACCACAATGTCCTCGTCCAGGCTGTCGATCTTCTTGGCCGCCGTGGGCAGGGTGGTCAACTGCGGAGCCGGTGGCTCTGTGGAGGCGGTGGCCCTCTGGGCCAATTCCGCCTGTGCTGCCTCCTCGATCTCACGCTTCACCTCGGCCAGCTCCTCCTCCTCGATGGCCCGCTTGGCCTCGATGCTCTTCATCACATCCTCGTTAATCAAGGCGCTCAGGACGGGATTCAGCTCCGGGCGCTCCTTGGTGGGCAGCAGGTTCATGGAATAGTCGGCATGGTCGGTGGCCCGTATGCTGATCCGGTGGGAGGTGTGGAATCCCTCCTCCCTGGCCTCAGCCTCCGGATGCTTGTGCGAGGTCTCGAAGGGAGCCGCCGGCGCTTCTGGCTTCTCCTCTATGGTTATCGCTTGGCCCTCGCTGGCGGAGGTGGCAAGGAGATCGCTGGTATCCGCCAGTGAATGGGTGACCAAAAAGGCCAAAAGGCAGCTGTTATTTGGGGTAGGAAGAATAAGGCAAAATGTTAATGAAAAGCTTTAGTTAATAAAAACTTATTATTGCAAATCCGCTTCCCATTAGCCAATTAGCCGCTCTCAAAGCCAATCTCCTGGACAAGATTATTGGCTTTATGTTGGATAATTCCATGTTAAATTAATGTGAGTATAATGAGCTCATTCCACCTGCAATCGCTATCTCTTTGGACTCCAATAGCTTAAGTGCCGGCTTGGCATTATCATTATCTTAGCCCCATCTCCCCCCCAGTGGTGGTGGCTTAGTGCATTCGGCAATGTCTAACCCAATTAATCTTCCACCAAAACTCCATAATCAGACGGGGTTTTAGCCTCAACTTCACTAGCAGCAGTTCACTTCCGAAGGGGTGTGTTGGCCATGTGAAGCTAGTTATTAGAGGTGCAGACACAGTGGAGCCAACATAGATGTTTAGCTGAGGGTTTTCCACATTTGTAGAAAGAAAATCATATAAAATATACCCGTAATTCAGTTAAGAGCATCAGCTAGTTGGTCATCAGTCGCCTGGCCTTTCTTTCGGGTTTTCTGGTTTTCCGCAAGCGACATGATCGACGCGTGCTCTTAATCAGCCACCACGGCTAGCCGGTTCCAGTTCAGCTTTTTAGCCGGAGCCTCGCCTCGGAGAGCTTTTCGTTGTGCTGCCTCATCTCTAATCTGGCATGAAAAACCTTTCACAATTTCATTAGCCACACGGCAGAGGCGATTGCGCATGCGATTTGGTCATGTCTGGCCACCGAGAGTGGATCGCTCTAGCGGATCGTGCACCACAACGTCGAGTTAGACAATGTAAACAGCTCTACAATAGTTCATTGGGCTCTGCGAATCCGCATTGCAGCGATGCTATGAAAGCGATGCTCAAGGCAAACTGGAGCCAGGAATCGCGAACATCGACCGGTTTCCATGGAATACAAGCAAAACAGCAAGATACAATAGGTGTTAACGTTAACCCATTTCGATTTCCAGACCAGATCAAACCAGATCCGAAACCAGAGGACCCTAGCTTACAGTTTTCTCCGCCAGAAAACAGATATTTGCTGTAATCAGTATCTACCAAAACTAAGGGATACTTGGCTTTCCCAACTCTTGACTTATGATGGGTTTGCCCTGTGTTGCAGTATTTCTTGCTGTACACCGGATCATCAGAGAGCCGCCTCTTGACGATAACTTTTAACATTTTGAATTATGTGCAGGCCTGGCGTTCACTTCTCTTCTCGCCCGGACGAACAAGTTTCGGGGGAGCAACGGCAAAGGCAACACCTTACTGCAAAGGTAGACAACTTCAACTTGTATTAATTGCAACAGCCCCCAAAACTGGTAGCTCTCCTCCGGCTCAACAATACCCATAAAGCCATAAGTCGGCCGGCGAGTCTCTCTCGTCTGCGAGTTGCCTTCAAGAAAAGTTATAATTATGACCACATCGGCGTGCAAATTGCTTTGCTATATGCTTTATGCCATATGCTGTGCTGCAGCTGGCTTGGCGGCAGCTCCTCGACTTGGACAAGGGTCTCCGCTGAGCTTGGATCGCACATGTTATGCTTCAGGTGACAATGCGCACACCAAAACCAGCATATATATGTATAAATTCCCATTTGAAATGTCTGCAATCGCGAAAATGCATATATGTAGGGTTTTCCGTTCAAGCCGGAGAATCGTAGCACACCGCAGACCAAAGATGAATGAATATGAATGAATATATAATGAATAATAATAAAAAAAAAGGGTTAATTCGGTGCAAAACGGTTTACTTTTAACAAAAATTATTGTGGCAAGACAGCTAAAGTTAGCTTTATGAATTAAATACCATATAATAACAAAACATTCGAACAATTTTTGTTAATATTTCATACATTGAATATCAAATGACCTTCGTTCAACTACCCATAACTTTGTCAATTTTGTAATAATTGATGTAAAACTTGGACACAATATTCTTAAGATATTAAGCCTTTAAAATAAAAATTTAAAAAAAAATAAGAAAAAAATGTAAATACCTTATCCTCTATTTAAAGAATTTATTAATTTACTAGCTCATATTTTTGGTTAAAAAATAGTCTCTCGTCTTTCAGTCATTAATTGCATTCCCACATCTAATATCTTGGCTCAAGCTCACGCAAAAATCCCCGCGCAATCGGTCTTGGCCACCACATAATAATCTGGCAGCTGACTCACACAGAATGTGTGAATTGAATTCCAAGAATCACCTGCACGCATTCGCGTCAGGATTGCCTTGACTTGAATTGCCATTAAACACACACACACACCTTCAGCTAAATTGGATCTTTTATGGCCACTTTGGACTCTGAACGAATGGAACTAGCTTAAAGAACTTGCAACGGGCTTATGTCTTAATAAAAAATATAAATTTAAGAAGCAATTGATTACACTTAATCAAGAAAAGATGTAATAAAAGGGCTTTAAGTACTAAAAGTATTTCCTAAGTAGTTTTCGCTGAGTGCATTAATGCTGCAATGGCTTTCCCTACTTTTAGTACAAAGTTTGGACGCACTGTTCCACCGACTTAACCTCTCTCTGGCACAGCCATTGTCTTGGCCAGCAAGCGGCGGTTAACGGTTTCCGACTCCAGCGACTCCGAACAGTTCGTGCAACCAGCAGAAATCCAAGCCAGAGAGTGGGAGTGCTGCCTTTTTTTTTGGGGGCTCTTAGCGGGTGTGGCATGCAATTTATAATTTGGCAATTCATTTGAGCCACCAGCAAAGTTGTTGTTGGCAACGGGAGAAGAAATATCTGGGAGTAGCGACGTTTCAACTTCAACTTCGGATACCTCACATCTCGTATGTATTTTCGATTCCGATTCAGGGGCCATTGACGCTTTCAAGAGGCAGTGAAGCGGCAAGCTGAGGCAACAATAATAATAAGAAAAAAGCACAACAACAACAACAAATAATATTAGCTACATTTGTAGCCATGAAATGTAAAGTTTTGCATTGTTAAATGGATGCGATGCGTCGTCGTCGTCGTCTTGCCAAAAGGTTTGTTGACTTCTCCTCAAGCGCCCCTTGTGAATATATATATATATACATTCAAGTGTGTAGTGTGTACTTTGCTGCATAATAGTTGACCTTTCCGAAAGAGAGATCGCTGGAGATCGGCACCTCGCCGGTAGCTTGACCTTTTCCACAAAAACTGACTTCATTGCCACGCCTAGATCGAGCCGATTCGGACATAATTCATGCATATTAACCCACTGATTGACTAACAGTCCAAACTGATTGAGCCAAGTCGCCGAGAGCGAGTGCGAGTGCGACTGCGAGACCAAGGTTAACAGTCCGTCGTCGCTGCAGGCCGAATTCCGAGCGAGCATATAACAGATAACTGTATCGTGGCCACTTGGCGTATACGTAATCTGTTGGTTTTTAGTTAAATAATACAAAAAAACTGAGGATAGAGGGGGATCTACGTTTTTTTTAATGGTCTCCCTAGCCCATAAATATATTTAAAATAATTAAAACCAACAAATTAATATATAGGTTTGACAACTTTGACCTAATTAAAGAATTTAATGCTTTAATAGCTTATTTCAGGATTTTTTAAATAATATTTAATTTATTGAGAGCCTTTTAAGTCTGTTTGAAGAACTGATAAAGGTCCCCAGAAGGCAACCGTTTCACTTGCACCGATCATACCCCGAGATGCTGGTGGAAAAGCTTAAGGGGGGTAAGGTTATTTCTGTGCAAAACGGATCACTTATCAAAAATTATTTGGCCGTCTGCTTGGCCTTGGCCTTTACTCATTGGTAACAATCACTATTTGTCTCCAAAGTATTCTTTCTCATCCTGATTAACCCCAACGGAGGTCTCTGCAGCATCCAACCCCATATTTTGTATGAAAAGTTGTAGGTTTTTCCAAGGAGATAGAGGTGATTATGGTCGCCAGACCCGTAATAGCAGATATTAAGCCCTAAAAACACAATCGCTAACTTGACCTTTAGAACTGCTGCAGCTTACTTTATATTTTTTGATTTATTTTTAAACGTTTTTATACTCACATTTTAAGCAGCATTTTGAAGCTGTTTTGCGGTTGATGGCGGATCGATCACGTAGTTGCTCTCCTCGTGGCTGCTGCTGCTGCTGCTGCTGCTGTGGTATCAACTTTTCCTTAACTGCTGCTGCCTTTTTACATAAATTTTATTGACACTTTTGAAAGTCAACTACTGCCGCCTCAAGCTGAATTCAATGGGAAACGAAAACAAAAACAAAAACAGAAAAATTGATGTAAAAATAAAGAAATAAAAACAAATTGAATGACAGAAATTGATTTTCAAATAACAATTTTGTTTTTTTTAATTGTTATGCACTTTGGATTTAAACATTTTGCTTGTTGTTTTTTGTTGCTTTTGTTTATTTTTTTGTTGTGTTTATTTGTCTTTTTTATCTTGGATTTTTCTACAAGTGTTGCCTTGTGCCTTGTGCAATGTTGCTTTTGTTGCCAATGCTGTGTGTTCACTTTGGTCATTTTGCGTTGCACTTTCACTTTTCACTTTTATCTTACGTTTTCGGACACTATTTGTTTTTCAATTTCTTATTTGTGTTTTGTGTTTTGTGTTTTGCATTTTTGGTCAGCCAACAATATCGAATCAATTATGTCGCCTCGAGTGTGCGGTGTTGTGTGTGCTTTAGCTGATTAGCTGACAAAACTCTGGCACAAAAAATGGTTAAAAAAATATTAAAAAAAAAAAAAAATATATATATAAATAAAAAAAGAACTGAGAGCACTTTTCACCCGCTCTCTGCGGCGTTTTTGACTGGCGCTTAACTGACGTTTAACTTATTTAGCCGCTGGCAACTCGCCTTTATACGGCCAACGCAGCCAGGCAGCACACACACGCAGAACACACACAGACACACACACACACACACACCTGCGAGGAGCATCTCCAGTACCATGAACTTTTCCTTTATATATACAAAATATCGGTCGTGTATATAGTATCTCCGGTCTCCGGGTCTTGGGGAGCAGTCACTTTCGATTTCGCTGCCAGCTGAACGTGAAATGGCAAAATGATGAACGCTCCAACCATCGAAAACCGTTGCTGTTGCCACCTCTGCCAGCTCGGGCAGCGACTGAGGCAGCGACTGAGGCAGCGACTGCGACGCTGGCGTTAGCATCGGGCTCGAAAAATCGGTTGGCGGCGGAGGGAAAGAGACGGAAGCAGAACCAACGATCGACAGGAGCGGCCGCTGCTTTCGTTACGGCCATGTTAACACTAAATCATTCACACCTGTTGCCCAGCATCTCGTCTGTGTGTGAGTGTGTGTGTGTGTTGGCTTTCAATGGCGACCACTAGGAAGTTCAAGCCATTTCGATGATAATGCCTGTTGCAAGAAACTGCACTAGTTTCGGCCCGGCCCGGCCCGGCTCGGGGCTGTGCTTGCAGGGGAAAACCAAAGGTTACACGTTAAAAAAAAACCCAAGATCCGTAGTCCTACCTGTGAAATTACATCCCAGCAGACAAAAATTTTTGCTTATGATATTGAAAACGACAAGCGGACAACACGTTTGATTTAAGCTTATAAACAATAATAAAGTTTATCACTTGTCATGGGTTTTGTGGCAGAAAATGCTATAATTTTTGGAATCCGAATAAGACTTCTATTGCGGACCTTTTACGACATCTTTATGGTGTATAATCCTGAGAATTACCGATAATTGTACGCTATTTGTACGCTTGCGCGTCCGTTTTTGAGCATTTAGCGAAACTAAAGCGGAAAATCTAATTCTTTGTCCGTATTTAATATTTTTTGAGGACATTTTTGGGATCCATCTGGACTAAGTCCGCTTTTTGTCTGCTGGGTTGCCTTAAATTCACGAAAGCGTTTGTTTTTTTTTTTGTAATTGTAGATGTATAGACAATATTCTTTTTATAAGAAGGATAAATATTAACTGTTTCATTAAGACAGTACCCATGAATAGATTCACTTAATTCACTTAATCAGTAAATTCTCTATTGACTTCATAAAAACTATTTAAAGTTCGAATGGTAATATTTATAAATAATAATAATAATAATGGAATATTTAAAGTTCGAATAATAATATTTATAAATATTATTATTAATAATAATGGAATGCCTAACATTTATGTAATTGATATCGTTTTTTGGTCCGATATCGATTCAACAATATGAAATTGATATGCTCATGTGGATATTTTTTGTCGTTTTTTTTTTTTCTCTTTGTGCAGCCGCCGACATTCACTTGCATTTTTTGGGATGCTTTCGGCCCCGTCGTCTCTGGCCGCTCCTCCGCCGGCTGCTGCTAGCCCCTCTACTAACTGATTTCATAAGCAAAAACTGGTTGGCAGCTGGTCTCAAGGCCGTTTGTTCGTCGTTCGTCGTTCGGCGTTCGTTCAGCGTTCGTCGCTTGTCGTTCCTTGTTGGCCCCCGTCGTTGATTAACCGCATTACACATACGTCGCGTTGGCCGCTCGACCGCTCGACCGCTGGACCGCTCGACTGCAATTAGCAGGGCACGCAACAACTGATATGCAAGCCAGCTACAAGATCACTCACCCCCCTTCGGGACCCCAAGAAAATATTATCCAATCTGTGGGCTTATTGATTAACCGTTGCTCATTTGCTTACGAGTATTTATGCAATTCCAGGCGGGCCAAGCCGGGGCCGGTGACTCCCAGCTTCCAACCAGCTGGATGGGTTAGTTGGGCCTTTGGCCAGCTTCAAGAGTTGTTTAAAACTCTCGTTTTTTTTGGCTCTGGCTCCACTGCAAATTTGTCCAACTGACACCTTTTCTTGCGCTCAGCAAGTAGCTAGCTGTGTGACACCCTGTTTCTCCTCAGTTTTTATTTACTTTTGCATTTTGGTTGATCAATCGATTTTCTAATTAGCATTGATCGATAAACTGGAACGCAATTTTAGTTAGTTTAGCTTTTCCCCTCAGCTTTTTCCTGATTTACTTATTGTTTAGTTAGGGTTTTTGCGGCTTGCCAAAGAGAGGGCCACCTTCTTGGGCAAGTCCAGCAGCGAACCGGGAAGTGATCCCTGTGCCTATAATTACGGATTTTACTCCTTTCTGGCCTTGTGTATGTTATTTTTTAGCTTGAGCAGCTGCCTGAACAGGGACATGGATTGAATTTCCAGCGATCGTTCGGGGAATATATGTACATACGTGACTCAAGCTATACCGAGGTCACGTTGATCAAGTTACCGGCCACATTTCTATGGATGCCACGGAGCGGACATAAAAAAAACCCAACTAAAAATAAAAACTATATAGCAAGTATTAACTAAAGTGTAGGAAAAAGAGATGGAGGCGAGATTGAGGCGGGGGAACTGACAGGATGCTTGGTGGGGAATGCCTCGAGGTCATAAGTTGACTTGAGTTGCTTATAAACCAGAAAAAAAAAGCAATATACACAATAAAGGCGAGTGCTAATGACGGTGGTCGAGGGGCGTGGCAGCTGGGCGAGGTGCCCAAGGACGGAGACAGGAGCACTTGGAGTATGGGATGCCGGTTAGCGGATAGTCTGCCGCCATAATGATGATTGTTCGTAATGAAAGCAATGATAATTACACTGGCGATGAATAAGGCCGGGGAGTGGGGAATTCGGTAATTGCATAAGGCGTAAAGCTCAAAAAAAAAAGAAACAATAAATTCCAGTAAACTTAGGGGAAAAACAAGTAGAGAGAGAGAGGCAGCACCATCTAAAGCATTCCTTTGTAAAGAGTTTAGAACTTCTCTAGGATGCTAAGGTTTCAATTTAATGTTGTAATCCCAAGATCACACATTTAAGAGCCAAATTCGATGACATCACAGCTCTGTTGCTTCAAGTTTTTTCCCTTTTCCGAATCATGGATCAAAAATAAAGAAAGAGCTACGGTTTCAAAGGAATCCAAACACAACCCAGCATACAAAAAGCGTACTTGGTGCGGATAGATCCGTAAAATGTCCGCTTATAATATTAAATACGGACAAAGAATCATATTTTCCGCATTAGTTTCGCTAAATGCTCAAAAACGGACTCGAAAATGTACAAAAAGCGGACAAGTAACGCAAATTTTCAGGATTATACACGATAAAGATGTCGTAAAAGGTCCGCAATAGAATCTTATTCGAAAATTATAGCATTTTCTGCTACAAAACCCATGACCTTTACTATAATTCTAGAGTCTAAAATCGCACATTTTGTTTGCAATATTTTTAACAAACTTTTTGTCTGCTGGGACTTTGTCGCGGATACTCGAAACTCTTTTTTATGTATTGTAAAAAATTCATAAAATTGTAATAAAAACAAAAAAAAAGCAGCGGAGGGAGAAAAAGAAAGACAGAAACAACAACTGTTATTCAACATTTCAAGTGTTCGAGAGTGTGTGTACCTGTGGATAATGTACATATATATGTATGTAGACACACATCTGCATACAGATGTACGCAAACAGGAGTGGCCAACTTGGAATGTTAATGCGGCCTGCAGTCGTCGTTGGCGTGACCAACATCTTCGATCTTCGATCCCCCAATCCCCAATCCCCGAGTGCCAACACTCCGCAAGAAAGAGACACTCGCACGTCTCTGTCTGGCGTTGGGAGTTACGTGAACTTCAAGGGAGTAGTAGTAGTTTGGGTCCATAAAAAAGCAGAGCTGAGGGCGATAACTGACCGGCAAACTGGACAAGAGCCAAAAGAATTAAGCACTCCTTATTGCTACACTGAAAGAAACCATTTCAAGAGTCTCAAATAGTTATTCATTACTATTACTACTTAGTTTTCCTAAGCTGCTGACATTGTTGAACAACTTTTAAACTTCTTTTGTATATTTAACCTACATTTCTCTCATATTTTCTTTCTGTGTTTACCACAATATCGTCTTAATTTTCTTCTTCTTTTTATTTTTATTTTATTTCTGTACAATTTTACTTATATATTTTCTGTTCAAACTGGGCGCGCATGTTGAGCCAAGTAAAATTTATAACTGTCAATTATTATGCAAGAGTTGTGTGTGTGTGTCCCAGGGGCGGTGCTAGGGAGGGGCAACTCCCTCCCTCTTGCCAAGCAATCAGGAAATACCCGATGTGGGGCCATAAACACCTCCCTCCCACGGCCTACCTACCGAAACGCTGACTCGCCCGCCGCCACTCGCACAATCGGAACACGTAGAGCTGCTCCCCCTGGAGACCTTCCTCCTGAGAATCTCGCTCCTTTGTTTCTTACCAAC